AGCCTGCTCAGTTTCACAGTGTGGGGGAGGAGCCTGGGAGTGGGGAGTGGTAAGGGGCGGGGCCAGACAGTGGGGAGGAGGGACGGGGGGAGGAGATTTCTAACACTGCGGTTTACTGCCTCCTGTTCACCAGTCTGCTGGACAGAAGACAACTACAGATAAGTATGACACTGTGCTTCAAATGGAAAGACTAAATATCCAGGCAAAATGTGGAGAAATTCCTTGGAGGTCACCAAAACTGAGGAAGAAACTAGAAATTCAAATATTTCTCAAAGGTTTACTGGGCAGTTCCTTCCTCAATGTGATTGTCATATTATTTCCATTCAGACACTGTAAAAAGAAAGAGCAGTTTTAGGTGGTTAGATGGAATAATATATCCGAAAAGGACTGAGTGTTCAGGACAAAAGATATTATATAGGATATTGTTCAAGAAATATTTGCCACAGTACTGTGTGGTAACTACCCATTTCAGCCGCACCCTAAACCACACCAGACGTGATGTAACAACACAAAATCTTAATGGATTTTTTTTTGACAGAACTCTTAACATCCTGATTATGTTTTCATTTCCCGTTATGGACATACCTGCCACATTTACAAGTCTTTTAACATTTCCAGACACACAAGCTTGCTCAACTGACAAAGCTTTCATCTTAAAGGTTACCAGTCAAGCTCAGGGAGAGACAAGGCTCCTTTGGTCCTGCGGACGATCTGCATGGTAAGCGATGTACCCCCCAACTGCCCGAAGAGGAAAACTCCTGCATTGCGGCTGCCCCACTTTCCACGCAGACGCTCAGTCTGCCTGCAACTCGACTTAATCCTGTTTTTTGGCTGTTCTGTGCATCACATAGCTGGTAAAATAAACTGTGATCTGCAGTTCACTTATAATTTGGAGATGCACTGGCTGTAAAATCTTTCTTCCTCTTGCTGGTGTTCAAGGAGACAGAGCTGGGAAATAGGACAGGTTTAGGGCGAGGTTTTCCAGCACAGTTACACCAATGGCTCGCCTGTGACCGTAGCCAGAGACCTGGAAGTAACCAGGCTCAGTGTGTTTATGGGAAACAGTCGAACTTAACATCTGGGGGTGACATTCAGGTACAGCTTTGCACAGATGCCAGTGAAGACAACTTGGATGTTTTCAATATCCCTGTAATTCTCTGAGGTGATGCACACATGAGAGGCTGGGGGGTGGAGGGGGAGGGGCTGTTAAACATACTGTAAATATAAACATGTAAACTCATGGTTATGAACTTTAATGGTAACACTTTCTATGAATGTCATGTCTGTACGACTTTGAACACATTCATAATACATTATAATGCATTCATAAAGCATTATAAACATGACTATAAATATTTATAAAAAGGCATACATTACAGCCATGTTTATTATGCATTATGAATCCTTTATGGAGTGCTACAATGCACTATAGATACCTTCAAAATGCAGTTCAAAGCATCCATAATGCTTATACCGACCAAGATGATGCATTATGAAGGTATTTATGGCGCATTATAAATGAGAGCTTCATTAGAGCTTATGAAGTAGTATAATTAACCATTAAAATGCATTTTTAAGGTATGTTTAATGTATTATATATTACAGCTTTAAACAAAGTGTTACCATTTTAAAGATATAAGACAGATTAGTCAAATGTGAAACTACTATTACTGCTACATTACAGGAAATAAAGTTGTAAAACACAAACAAATGACCAGCAAAAGCACACAGTGAAATTCAAAGGTGAAATATATATACACACACTTTTTTCCTCCAGACATATCTCTACCTTTTAAAATGCATGCTACATAACCCCATAACCCAGATAAGGAAATGTCTATCCTCCTAAATTTCACATGATAACAACATTGGTTTCTCCTTTCAAGTCGTTTCAAGAGCCAGATTGTGGACTACTTTCATCTTGGAACAACAACCACAGGCTTTTGTCCTGTTAAATTTAAACAACCTTCTTTCCGCAGTGTGAAAAAAGTAGGTCATTGCTCACCAAGTCAAGATCTACAATAAATTCCTCTGGGCACCAGGAGTGTACAGTTAATAAATGAACGAGACCCCTGAATCTTAGCTAGCTTCACTTGTAGTGTCCATAGCACTTCCTTTGTGGCATGCAGAAACATGGACAGTAACAATGACATCTACAGTATAAAAGAAAGACTCCTATTTGTGTTGCCACATTTGTCATTCTCTGTCCATGTACATAAAACAAAATCAACACTTTACTAGTAGGACAGACATCCTTTAAATAGATCAGCCTAAAGAAGAACATGAATAACCATTAACTAATTAATAAAACAGCTAAAACAGAAGTGATTAAAGAGGCAAGCAATCTCTATCATTACAAAATTTGTGGAAATGTGCTCATTACAAAGGGATCCAAGTAGTGTCAGAAAAATAAATAGCAAACTACGGCAAATTAAGTCCACTTTTCATTCATTCGTTTTCTATACCACTTTGTCCTGTTCAGGGTTGCCGGGGTTTGGAGCCTGTCATGGAAGCCACGGGTGCAAGTCAGAGAATAACCCAGACTGGGGTGCCAACCCATCACAGGGCACACACACCATGCACAATTTGGCAACTCCAATTCACCATAGGGTGTTCTGTGTCAGGAAACCATAGAACCTGAAGGAAACGCCATGACAACATGGGGAGAACATATAAACTCCACACGGGCAACAGTGCTAACTAGATACGACCAGATAACATACAAAGACGATGTTAAAATGAGGAAGTAGACTACTATATCAATAAGTTATAGAACAACAGAAGACAATTCTGATTATTGCATTGTGACATACTGTTTTGGGGAAAAGCAGAATGAATATTAATTCTCATAACAAAATCCTCTCCCAGTAATACAGGTATTGTGAGTCTGAAATTATGTATTCACTCAGCTGACAAGAAATCTATTCAAATGGCCATCTATGATGATCTGAATTTACTGGTAATTGTATGCTAATATTGCTACATCCTGCTATTCATTATCCATACTGTGAATAATACTACGAATACACCCTGATATTACCATGCATACCAGACATCCAAGGCCGGTTATGTTTTTAAAGTTGCTCCACGTCAAATAACACAGACTACAAAAGCCTTGTATGTAGTACTATACATACACTAGAGGCTATGGAAGATGAGAGGATGAATTTTATTCAAGAAAGAAGAAATCTGGCTTATTGTCTAGAACTTCCCTCCTGAGTGACTCTGAATGATGACTGATAAGCCCCCGGTAGCTTCCATTACTGGATAACAATGCTGAATGGCACAGTGTGGGGGTGAGCACATATTACAGAGTATTCATCTGATTTGAGAAGAAAAAAAAATGGTCTATTTTCAAATCCGCTGTGGACAACCCTGACTATGCTGCCCCACCTCTCATCCTGAAGTCAGTTTGGGATCTTAAGCAGTCACAGCACAAGCCCAGAAGAAACGAAAAACTCTAAACTTTTTTTTTTTATCTTCAAAAACGTCAATTCCTATTAGCCACAGAGCAAAAAATCCTGAAATATTGGTGTCAGGGAGATATAAAAAATATCAACTTTTGTCAGTAAGAATAAGCAGCTAAATTTCAGTAACCACAGAAATAATAATAATAATAATAATAATAACAATAATATTTGACTGTCATATTTACAGGTATTTTAACTAGACTTGAGGAAAGGGGTTCTGGGTATAATAGTAATTGGTAACAAATGTATGAGAAGATATAAAAGTAAAGTACAGTTCATAAAAATATTTCAGAACAAATATAGTGTCACGCCGTTCGTCCGATCTTCCTGTGTGCCACGCCCCCCTCGTTAACCTCATGTGAAATCCCGATGTCATCAGCTGTTTCTTGTTATTTCCAATTAGTCTTGGTTATTTCAGTCTGCGTTCAGGTATGTTTCCCTGGTCCTGTCATTAACGTTTCTAGCCGTTGATGTCTGTTTTGTCCAAATCGTACCCTCCCCTCATTAAACCCCGAGTTTTTCCCCCTATCCTGGACTGCCGTGCCTTCCTTCCCGTCGTGATATCACCAGTCACGACAGTGAGCATGTTAAGGTTTATTAGATGCATCGATGTTTGTACAAGCAGAAGTAATACAAGTAATACTGAACAAACAAGTTCATTTTTAAGTCAAGCTAGTCTTTTTAAGTTTGTTGATTTTACTGTCTGAGACCTAGAGCCATCGAACAGAAAAACAGAATATGGATAATTGCCATCAATACTGCTTATAATCCTCTTTATAAATTGTTCTGGGTTTCTTTCTCCATGCGGTATCCTGCTCTGTTCAAAGTGTAATGCACAATAATAATAAACTATATATAAAAGAGAGAAGAGAGATTTATTACTAGAGCAACATGCTACCCCAACATAACTGATATTAATAAGAGCGGAGGTAACGAGCATGCACTGATTACAGCGTGTTGCCACACCCACTACACGACAAACCACGTCAGGGATGCGAACCTGAGTGCAGCCAGGTTGCAGGGCTGGATGTAGATTAAAATCATACCCAGGATGAAGCAATATCAGGTTAAGGGCCTTGCTCAAGGGCCCAAGGGAGTACAATCACTCCAATTATTCACAGGATTTGAACCAGCAACCTTCCAGTTGCTGGCACAGATCACTAGCCTCAGAGCAACCATTCCACCTAATACTAATAATAAGGATAACCTTAAATTTATAGTCAGTCAGTTTACTTTACTAATTGCCAAATCATTTTTTTTCTGTTTTTTCCATTCCTTTTGGAACAAAATGCAAAAATGACAGCAATGCATTTCTCAATAATCATGATTAGGAAAAGGCACTATGCAGATTGAAGTATGATTGACCATGTGATGCATTTAAGGCTTGTTATGCAGGTCATGGTTTCTGAGAGATGGGCAGGAAGTGGACACACTTGTTTTTGGTGACTGCTGTTAAAACTCACACTGGCTTCATCGTTCAACCCGCTAGTCACATGACCTGGTCTACGAAGACCGCCACGGAGATCTTACCTTTCCCCGACGGGAAGAAGCAGTCCATCTCAACGCTGCTGCGAGAGTGCGAGATGCAGAGGGCGCTGCTGGGCACCAGGCCCTCCTGGGGGGGGCTCCTGTCGGTGGTCCGAACCAGGCACCAACCAGGCCGCTCGCTGGGTCTCTCCAGCAGCTCCACCGTCTGGCCCGTCTGGACACTGAGCTCGGTGCTGCAGCCGGCCGCGAAGTCGTGGAGCACCACGGTGAGCTCGCAGCCTCCGGACAGCTGCAGGCGGAAAGAGGGAGAACAAGGGACCCACTGAGTAACAGCCCTTAAGTTTAAATGAACAGCACCTCTCAGATAGCAGGTGGCACAGTGGTCAAGCAGACGGTGTCCCTGTGTCAGGTCCTTATCCTAAAGCGCCCCAGTGAAACACCCAGCTGTCAGAACAGGAAGCAACGTTAGCTTTTAGCAAAAGACACAAGTGGAAAACACTGTGGGCCTCTTCATTCCGGTCAGCGTCCAGTAGCTAAGGAGGGACACATGCTCCTCTGAAACAGGGAGATTACAGAACATTTAAAAGCGAGACTCAAAGGACACTTTTGTGATTAATCTCCCAGCCCCATTATAAATATCCTGGTGGGGAGCTTTAAGACGCGTACAGCCTGTGTTGCTCTCTGAAAAGCATTCACAGGCCGACTCTTCATCTGGCTTATATCAAGTCATAATATATGGAAAAAAATCCACTGAACTTCTCAAAATGCATTTTGTGATGGATAATACAGCTATTATTCACAGATAATTCTTTTCCCTAAGCTTGAAAATATACCCTTTCAAAAACCAGTGCTGATAACTTGGATGACATGTATGAAAGGATAGAACTGAAAGAATAGAGCATTCTTTAAATACAATTATAGGCTAAAAACCGTTTCATGGTAGAATGGTTGGACTGTATTACAGATATCCCTTTAACATTTTGTTTTAATTAGTGAGATATTCATGTATAAATGTAATTCACCAACTATTACTTTACTTTCAGTTCAAATATTAATCTCTGCCGTAACAGAAAATAACTGTAACGTCAAGGTTCAATTTTTCATAATCGTGTAAATCAGGCTGAGGGATGACCTCAGTAACCATGAAAACTAAGATTAAAGCATAAACCTGCAAAGCATACTGACAGCCCCAGGTTAGCCAACCTCCAGTTGGCTCTGGTGTAGGCTTTACATACTCTGGCATGAAATTCTCATCATTGCAATCCTAGGGCATTGCTAATGTCTACCCACGTTACCCTGGTGCCGGAAACTCAGAAGCTGCCCTCTGCATGATACCTCTGAAATCTGACGAATTACAGGAAATGAGAGGCAGACAGAAGACCTGTGAGCCCGTGTATTAATCTGCGCCTAGAAGCACCGATAGTGGCGGCGAGGACGTTCCCCGTTACATGAGCTCATGGCGTGAAAAAGTCAGTGAAGACAGAAGTTTCAGGACATGACAATGTATGGTCTTTGCTTCGTAGCGAGTGGGAGAGCTGCTGGAACGCTGTAATTGCGCGCAGAGGAGTTTGTGAGAGCGTCACGCACATCAGTAGCTATTGAGGATGACGCCGAGGTGGGAAGCAATAGAACTCAGCCAGACAGCTGGAAGAGAACCGGAACCGGACCCGGGATGGATAATTAAAAAAAAGAAAACGTGTAAACCTAAGATTTCTTTAAGAATTAAAAATGCATCTTTCGTAGACATCACATGGTCATATTTTTTTTAGTAACTCAGTTACTACGCAAGTACAAATCTCCCTAAACAAATATAGTACCTGCATGAAATAAATGAACCATTATGACTGATTAATGATGAATGAACACAGGATTAGTATGTAACTAACACTTAATTTCTGGTTAATACATTAAATAAGCGTGTACTGTACTACTGCACTAATTGTGCCCCCCCAGGTAAAGTGATACTAAATAAATTAAACAACTGAAATAGTATATCTGGGCTAGCCTGTCAGCCATTCAAGAATACTACATATGTACCAGGCACAATATGTAACTGCCTACTAATGAACTACTCAAAATCTCAGACTACAATTTCATTGGTCACTTAACCTTTAATTCCCCTCATCGCTTTCCTTGATACCAGCATTTGTCACCTGAGGTTTAACTTGGCTACCTTGAAGACAGTGTCCAAACACCCCTCTGTATTTTATTGCATAAATACTATTTCTCAAAGCCATCCTATTTCTGCGTACGGTAACATCCATATAGCTCCATTTAAGAGTCCCTCACCATTTTCATTCTGGCAAAGAGAAGAAACATAGGGATTATTTAGGTGACACTTGAGGGCTGTCAGTAATAAATGAACATGCATACATCATGTTACATGGTCATATATAGTCATGACAAATTATTCATCAAAAATCTTCAGGGACTGAATTATAACTTATGTAAGTATTATGAAGATATTGTGCAGGACACTTCATTTAAAGCGTGACTATAATTTAATATATTTTTCCATACTTTGCCATAAATGAGTAATACATTAAGGTTTGCTTTCTTGTGGCTAAATCTAGACCAACTGTTGATCTCACTTTTTTTTTTGCAAACTTTGTTTATTAAGAAAAACAAATTAATCTTTTCTTGAATGGCTGTTTAATGCCTCAGTCAGGACAAACAACATCTTGCTTCTCAATTAGATGAAGTCAAAATAGGCCTGCAAGACATAAAATCCATCTAACTGTGGTGAATTTGTGTTTCCAATATTTCTAACAGTTTTTATTTCGATCATAAATCTAACTATAGCCACTTATATACCATAATTATAGTCATGAAAAATAAGTATACAGACCCATAACCTCAGAAATCAAAGTGAACTAAAATCTAAAGTGAAAAGCTTAACTAATCTATGACATTTACTTCCATGGTTATATCAGGCATTAAATAGGATGCATTTTAAATTAGTCTTCAACTAACTTAAAAGTTTTGGGCTTTTATAAGCATCTGCTGTACAAAGGACTGGAAATTATACCAGCCAGATGACACTTAAAACTCCTGGATGTAATTGTTGGGAGACGAGTGAATGTACTGTCTGTGCTATCTACACGAAGCATGAGAAGCTGGAAAAATGTGTCAGTGGAAAACATCTACAACATCTTTGTACGTTTCTATTTTGAGAAATGTGTCAAAGGTCACAAAAGCTCTATATATACTTAACTGCCAGGATGTATATAAAGGTGTTTTGACCTTTGAAAAACGTTTTAAAAAAAAAATTACACACATATATTTTTTCCTCATAAGCATTGTGTTCTCATCTCAGGATGTAATTAAAGTCTATTAAAAAATAATGTGTTTCATGACATCACCTCAGCAGGGTAACTGGTGTAAAGAAGAACTGTGCAGGACAACAGGCGTTTCCATCTTCTCTAGAAGTTCCAGGAGTACATGTTCTCTCAAAACAGGGAAACCTATTTCAAGGGTGACCACAAATCTTTGGCAGACTCATCCTTATACCCTCAAACTATAGCTTTTCAAAGTGTTGCTTAAAAAAAAACTGTAAAAATGTATGCTTTGGCTCAAAAGGTAAATAAGCTGCAAGCGAGCATTTTTCCAAGAGGTGCGATCATTTTAAACATTTTACTAATTCTTGCAAAAATGTAAAGAGAATGAATAGAGACTGTTTTCAAGTGACTAGAGACAGCGAGGGCAGAGCAAATGGTGGAACTGTCTGAGTTTGCAGCACCACGGTGGATCATGTTCAAACACTTCATCTCACTATTTACAACAGAGCTGGTATCTCTATCACAGATCTAGAATGAAGCGGGAATAAAGCACAGAATACAACACATATTCCTGACTTCTACTACAACTACACGCTGATGAAACAACGACAATGTATTTCCCAGACAGCCCTGTCACACACCCCCACCCCTTTCTAATCCCTTTTCCTCTTTCACCCCCCAACCTCTACATTCTCTAGCCGCCTTACATATTCTCCACACCTCTCCAAATCATCTTTATTAAAAGTCCAGCTACTGTATGTGTGACCTGCTTCAGTCCAATCAGGCTGTCCTTTCATCTATCACTATGTGGTGCTGCTTCAATTTTGGTGTGACTTGTTTCAAAATTTGATCATTTCCTGATTAAAAAAAACACATCTGTCAAATACTTTTTGAGTTATTCTGATTATGATATAAGTGTCTGGGGCATTTTTAGATAAAGGCACTGCTTGTTCATTATTTTATAATGGATAAGAATCACAATGAAGTAACAATTGTTAATGTGATTTGGGGGGAGGGGGGAGGTCACCAGTAGTCTTGTGAAGCAGTGTCAGGTGAATGGGATTATCTGTAATGATTTGTTCCACCTGTGCTTCATTAGAGATGATTTGTATGGTGCTGCTCTGTTTTGCTTTGCCCCCAGGTCACAGTGTCGAGGCCAGGATCACTGGAGCTGCCTGTTATCGGTTTAATTCCCATTTGGTTTATGAAGCACTAGTCTTGAGTTTCACTGAATTACTTTCCTCTCTGGACAAATCAGCTTCTTAATTGTTTTTTTAAGTTTATGTCTGTGTTAACTGTGTCCCTGCCTGGTCCCCGTCTACCCCTGAAAAAGGAACATTTTGTAATAAAGCTGCTGATCGCTGCCAAGTGATGGGGTTTTGTTTGCGGTCTCATCCCAAAATGCACTCGATGGCGATCAGAATTTTAATCATTAATTAGCCACTCATGTCAAAGATGTCATTCGCTAATACATACAGTCTGTTCGCGTTGTGAAAAGCATGCATAACGAATACAGGCAAATACAAATCAACAGTCATAAATATCGCCAGTATATGTTAAACCTGTGCTAAATCTGCATTTTATATTGATGACTGACCAACTCCTCATCGGAAGTAAGGCAGGTCAGCTCTTGAAACAGACCTGGGGAATAAGGAGGCAAAGCATATTTGGTGACTCTGCTGAGGTAGCCACCATAAAATTAGATGTATTTGTGTGTCCCTGAAATGTGGGGGCCACTCAGGTCCATCTGTCTGGACCACCATCCGCGGTGTCAGGCCGCTCCAATTGGCGGAGCTGGAGGACAGGTTGCTAGGTGATGGTACAGCCTGCCACACGGCTGGTAAATAATATTATGGTTTGGAAAAGCAAAGAGACAGATACTGGCTTGTTTTTGGAAAAAAAGGAGGAGTGTGTTGGATAATGTGTACAGCTATAGGATTTTTCATTAAGAGGTTAAAAGCTTAAATACATTGGAGATAATACTGTTGTACTGTTATTTTCTGTATCTAAGCTACTTCTGGATGCTACCACCTGCACACAGTAATGAGAAAAAATGTTAATGATAACATTCAAAACACCTGCAGATGTACTAAGTAATATCAAATCACGTCCACAGTACTGACACAATTCATATTCCTTGGTTCCCTTTAAATTGTTCTCACTGACATGAACAAAATCCTCTTTCATGAGTGGTTTGTATGACTTATCACGTCCCAGATACTGAACTTGATAACTCTCTCATTGCTAAATCTTTTTACTATAATTACAAAATCTTAGCATATGTTGACAGACCATAAATATTTTTTCAATATTTTGCCGATTTGTTCAAGTGCGATAGACAGCATCATGAACCAATGTCACTTCTAAATAGGGGAATGTTTTAAGACTCTAGCACTACTGTGTTATCTCATGTTTATGGCTCATTTTCTGCCTACGGTCTCAGAACATCCAGAGCCTTTAAAAGGACTTTCAGGGATCCAACATTTCCTGCATGGAAATAAATCTGAAATCATCATTATAAAAAAAAGAAATCGAGTAATAAATCAGAGACGTGACATCAGATGTGCCTTTCTTTTCAAATAATGCACTTCAAAGGGATATCGGAGTATTAATAATGAAGCAGCAAATTCTGCATGTAGCTACCAACTAAGCCAAACCTCTTATGATAAGCAACCTTGGCTGCAGTTGCTCTTTCAAAGTAGAAATTTACACATTCAACTTGAAATCCAATTAATTGATTGATCAAACATGCAAACATCTCCTCTGCCTCTCACACTGATGCTTTCCCTTCCACTTCAGCATGCCGGTGTCACATCCCAGGTTCAGGATAACATCTAATAACCTCGGGTCCGTTTTGGGAGGCAGCCCTCGGAATACCAGAGTTAACTGGGTGGCTGAGCCAGGAGTGGAAAATCCACGCTTCCACACAATAGGAACGGAGGGAAGACACCAGCAAGACCTGCGAGGATCATCTTGTGACCCAACTGCATGCTAAAAGAAGAGACTCATTGTAAGAGCTGGAGTGGAGGGTTAATTATCTTGATTTGCTTAGAGTAGTAACGAAAACAGCCATTGAATCCCTTTGCTCAATGAATAGAAGTGCGGAATGGCAAAACACAGCCATTGGATGACGTGTTACTACAACCAGCAAAAACCCATCAATACCTTTCACTGGAAATAATAAATACCTCAGAGGCAAGCCTTGTAACTGAGATAGAAATGGAAAATATGGCAACAGAATGACAGAACTTTCAACATCATAAACGTCATGTATGAGGTTCACATCTCACAGTACTTTCAAGTGTCAAACCCCTAATTTTATTCAACGTTGTTGACCAGGAGCTAAATGGGTAGGAACCAAAGACAGGGGATGTATGTCTGAATGTTGTGCTTGTTATCATGTTGAATGTACAGTAAGGCTGCAGTAGATGAGTTCCACAGGTTAAGATATCCTTCTGGGGAGGTAAAGCAGCAGGAAGCAGCAGATGGAAGATTCAAGCTTGTATTCGTGTGGATTGGAAAACAGACAATGGGAACATTTGGTCCCCGCAATGTAATTATATATAACCCACAAACACGCACACACCCATACCCGCCACCACCCCACACACACACATGAAACATGTTTGTATTAAGTAATCTAAATATCTAAATTTAATCTGAATTTAATGCCAATAAAATGTGCCCTAATCTTAATCTTGACCACCAAATGACCATTTGCACACCTTAATCTCTCTATCAATTTGTATTAAACTTTTGTCCTGTTCAGATATGTAAATACCATATGTACCATACACAGAAATATTTTTCCCGAAAAGACACAGAGCAGTTTCAATTAACTGTACATGGTAATAAGACACTGTAGCTGAAAACAGACACCGCATGTAATATATCGGAAAACGGAACACTGCACTTTTATGGACTGCTCTCTCTTCAGGGTGAAAACAAGATGAAAACTCTTGTCAATTTGAAGAAACAGACAAATTTCTACCCTGCAAGCAAAGCTTCCTTATTTTGACCAATAAATGCAAATAAATGTAAATAAATGTAAATAATACATATTTAGTGGGAACCACAGTGATCAAATGAGGAATGAATCATGTTTAGAGTGAAACCTTATACCAGTTTTAGAGACATGCTGGTTAATGGGAAACCATAACTGATTTTAGGCAGGCTTCACAAACGCTTTACTTTCCAGTCACTAAGCTGGAACAGGAGCATGCAGTAGATAAGGTTTATTAGTATTGATGCCCTAAAACTATTTTTTTCAGATAAATTCATTATGCATTTTTTCAGATAAATTCAGTCTGCAAGTGCAAGTTTGAGACTGCAGTGGAATGGGAGAGGAACAAACAGATCGAACAGCCAAAGAATCTTCCAGAGATCCGTTATTACTGAACACTTGTGATGTCACCACTGACATCCGGCAATTTGTTAAACATGAGACATGAATTGTTCTTTCTGAGAAAGTGGTCAGAAAGCAGTCAGTGGTCAGAAATAAAGCTTTGATTGTGGATTAATATCCAGAGAGAGTGCCACTGTTCTGGTCAGGCATTGCAGATGCTGGGAATTGTGGGTAAAAAGTAATGCTGTGAATTATGGGTAGAGAATAATTGCGGCATCCTACCTTATCACTGTCCACAGTGTTCTGAGAGGTCCGGGAGGCGATGGAGATGGTGTCCGGTTGGCTACTGCCGTCACCCTGACTGTCCGCATCCTCTCCAGTGTCCCTGTAGAAGTTAAAACAATCAGTGAATAGGCGTTTGGAATTACTCAGCCAAATATACACACGCATAGCTGAATATGTTCACATTTCATATGAAATCTGTTGAATTTAAATCAACGTGCGTCACCACAGACAGCTGTTTACCTCTTGTTACTATTACGCTGCTTGGCAGGGGTTTTGGGCATGTGAATGGGCTCCTTTAGCGCCCCCTTCAGGTGGATAATCCTTTCCTGGATCACCTCCCGGATGTTTTTTATCCACTCCTGCTTTGCTTCGATACTCGATGCCTTTGGCAAGACAGAGATGTTATTTCTCATTTGCATCTGTCCCAAGAAATGAAACCGATTTTCATTTAAAACTGAAGTACATGTAAAAATTGTTTTATTCGCCGACCTGAATGAGAATAAGCACGGATATCAGATTATTTTCAGTGGAAACGCAGCACTCGGAGTTATCATGACGGCCCAGCTTATATTAGTTTAGAACCTTTCGTTGAGCATGTGTGTGTCATTCCGGAATCTATTCTGCCCTGATGTTAGGCTTCTATGTCCTTGACTCAGTGTAAAATAAGAAACTGAAGAACAGCAACATGGATTTTCCTCAGCTCATATCAATTGCCCAGCCACTGGCGGGGCTACCCACACACCCACGGAGGGACAGCCTGAACGTCCGGGATGAAACGCATCACTGGAAAGGACTTGGCCTGTAAGGCTATGTTTTTGCATATGAAGGTGGCGTTACGTGTTGCTTCCCGCAACGGCCTCGTCCTCTGCTACACTCTCCGTCTCTGACGCCTACAGTATATCAGCTAGCTGACATCCACTTCAGTGGTATTTTCCTGTTATTTAAATCTCAAGCATGCTTATGAGAGAGCACACAAAAAAGTGTGTGTGAGAGAGAGAGCAAAAGTTAAGTCTATGGATATTTCCTGTGCCTGAGGTGACAAAACAATTTCCCTCTGTCACCTGCATATATTGACCTTGATCAGCATTTAAAGCGACTCCTTTGCTAAGTATCGTCTCAGGAATACAGTAGCTTGTCAGAATGGCTGCTGAGACATTTAACATAACTCCCAACAAACCTAACCTTTCTTACTGAGACACCTGCTGATATTTTTGAGCTGCCAAGCATTATTCAAAAACGATGAGGGAGAATGGGGGGGGGGGGGTGATTTTGGACATACCTTGAGGACAGTCTTGTTGTCAGATGAGGGTGTTCTTCCTGCCCACAAGGCAAACTTACAGGGGTCCCCCTCGACATGCTCCGTCACTCCCAGCTCAGATGTCTGAAAAGGACAAGGTGGTTTATGGATGTTTATCTCAGCCTTACGGAGATTCTCCCATGGCCCAGCCAAAGCAGCCCTGCCGTGGAAAGCATTTTTAGATTTTTAGTTATGTAACTTTAAAGGTCAACCTCTTTCTTCAATGGAACGTCCCATAAGTCATTGCTTAGGAGGTTGACTGTATTAATGCTGCCCTAAAAACCCCTAAGACATACAGCTCTGGAAGAAAAACAGAGACCACAGCAAGATTTGTAGTTTCATTCATTTCTCAATTTATGGGTATGAGCCTGTGTAAAATATACATGCATTTGTAAACCCTAACCTGGTTCATCTCTGTTCATCTTTAATGACAGGCTTCTGCCTTGTTTTATGGGACTTCAGCCCTGCTTCAAAAGACTTTGATACGAATTGCCCTAACAGTGCACTTCACACCACTTAATGTTTCCCATTCTTTTTGAAGGTCACTAAAGGACGTCCTCCGATTTATGAGGCACCGCCAGATAAGTTGTCTTCGCTGTCATTAGAAAGTTGCTTCTGCCCTCAACTTGGCTGGATTTCAGTCATTCCCAGTGTCTCCTGCCTTTACCTCTTTCTTGTGTACTGCTGTCTTAGAAATTTTGAGCCTGGAAGCAACCTGCCGCTCAGTGTAGCCTCTGCCAGCAGAACCAGGATTAAACCAGGATTTAGCAATGCAGATACTTAAAAAATATGGAGTGGTAATTTTTTCCAGAGCTGTATAACTTATTATGGAAACAATGTCAGAATTATTCCACAAATGTAATATGTTAAAACATTTTCCAAAACAAAAGAGGTACTTCATTAAATATCATCTTGATACGGAGTCTTGGAAACGGTAGCTAACTGAATACCGAAAATAAACAAATATAGGTTGGAAACCATTTGCAATAAATGTAAAATCTCATTTCCTGCTCTCCCTTGAGTGTAATATTCATGTGGGCAGGACGTAAGCGTATAAATTATGGTTGGGGTCTCTGAGTAAGGCCGTGATGATCACGTTCAGCATCCAAAGCATCTCGCCACTTTACGGACCCCTAGAATTATGTAATCCCCAGCAGTCCTTTGTTGCGCTAAACTCCTACATTCTTCCGCCACAGCATCATATGACCTTGTCCCCATCCGACTGGCTGTCGCTGGGACTTGCATGTTTCACTACTCATAGACTACTCAGCACCTGCTGAATCACTGATGATTGCTTGTGGGTGGGGGGAATGGGGGATGAAATAATGGGTATCGATGCGAGGTGGGGGGCAGCTTCCTGAGGCAAACAGACCCCAGATCAGCACTGTAAGGACAACAGACACCGGTGGCAGTGTAACATATCGTCACCGCCGTCGCCGTAGCACCTGCTCCGGCTGAAGGTGACCTTGGAGGATTTGTCTTCTGCTGGTCTCCTCAGTAGGACATGCTGTGCGTGATACTTAACTGGGTCACCTGCTTCCTACCTCGCCTCTCTCTTAGCAGGTAGCTTGAGCTTGAAAGTGCAGTTCTTGCATCTCCATGGCGATGACCTAACAACTACTCTCTAACAACCACAGTTCTTTAGTCGACCCTCTTCCTATGCGTGCGTTTGGGACAAAAACGTGTTCACCTCGCTTCGAAGTAAATTCCTGTTGATTAAATAGTTTCTCTATAACCTTATTTTTTATAGTATTAATTTTAAAAATGGTTTTATAGTTATTAGATGTAAAGAAAAGTTTGCATTTACATATTATGCTATAGGGCAATGACATTATTCATACAGCTGAAAATCCATAGTCCACAAAGTTTTATGCTATATTGTCGCATTTTTTTTCTGTCCCAGCTGCATTTATTTTATACACAGAGGCGAGAACAGGAGGACCTGGAAAAATCCTACCAGCAGTTTGTTCTTGTAGACATATTTGGTGCGTCCAGCTGAGTCCTTGATCTCTTTGCTAAAGACGAGCGAGATCTCGAAGAGGAAGAGGTGGCGGTCTCGTCCTTTCCGGATAAGGGACTTGGGGTCCCACACTTGGAAGGTGTCCTGAAGAATGAGCTCTCCCTGCACGTCGAGGTTCTCATCAAACCCTAGAAGGGTTGACAACACAGGACGTTCTCACAGGTGTCACATCTACTCAGAACCAAAGAAAGGTCACCAAACATAGACTGTCCAGACCGTGTGCGATCAGCAGGCACTTTATTAGGTACACAAGCCTGCGCCCAGGAAGGACCCCCTTTTGGCTACAAAACAGCTTGGTGCTGGAAACATTCCTTATGGAGTTTGGTCCATGATGTTTTCGCACTTGTGGGTTTTAACAAATCTGGTCATACCCTGACCAATTAGTACCTCCCTACCCCAACAAATGGTACCAATTTGTTGTACCATCTGGGGATGCCTGACAATTACCAGCTACGAATATTAATTGCAAACCTGGTGGAGGAGCCTAGTTTGTAATCAGGGTGAATGCTGTAGTCCGTATAGGACTCATGAAACTAAATGTTAAATGACATCCATTTGTAGTGTACTTCTGTGATACAGACGCTGACTTGGGGCCCACCCTTCCCCCCCCCCCCGCACCTTCCAGCATGCTGACGTGCATGGCGTCGTTGGCCCTCTTCGGGACACTCAGCATGACCTCCAGACCGTCCTTGATTTCTCCTTTCCCCTCCTCGCAACATGTAAGCAGCTCCTGCTCAAACACAGCGATACGATGCCTGATAAGACCACGAATGGGAAGAGGCTACACTACTGCTGCAGCCTATCGCGTTGCTGGTCGGGACGTCGGCCATGTTAATGTTCATCAAATGCTTTTTCCAAGGCAATGCGTATCAATACAAATACAATATACAAAAAACAGCGACTCTTTCGAGACATTACTAGGTAACCATCTGCTTCCTCGACCAAGTTGGTTTTATAATCGTACAAATGCATTTAACTATTGTCGTAGGAGAAAAATATTGCCAAAGACAACTGATACGAAGTTGAGATTTTGGAATACACAGAATCTGATAATTTGGTTGCTGACCTGCTGTTTTAACATAATGGACTGGGGGTTATAGGCTGACTTGGATATGAAAAGTCATGATTCAGAACAGAAGGGGGCTGTGTGCTTGCTTTATAATATGTTACATCAAACTGTTTTATCATTTAAATTATTTGTTTAGGGGGTGCTTAAAAATAAATGCTAAACCAAATGCTAAATTGAAATCTAGAAATTACATCCAATTAATGTCACAGGGTCTGTTACTGAAGCCATATCATTTTCATCTATGCGCCCCAACAACGCAGACTGCCTGGGTTTCTTCCAGAAATGCCAAGTTCTCCCAGTCCAGCTTCCACACCTTGAGTAAGAGCTGATACTTGGTGATCCTCTGTACGGGCTTGATCAGGTAGGACGAGATGGAGTTGGTTAGGCCGTGTCTCTGCTGGATCTCCTGAGGAGTGTGGATGACATCATTAAGGCTTTGATGCCTGTGGTTATAATGAGATTGCAGCAGAACAAAGTGCACAATGTCTGTAATGCATGAACCGCGTTCCCAGAAGCAGACAGGACATAATGTAGGACAGGGAGGAGAATGATTACCTCTGCAGTGGTTACAATAAGCCCTCTGGCTCCATCTGTCTGTTATTTCAGTGCACTGTGGCTTTCGTTTACTGCACATTTCCATCATACTGTGCCATTTATAGGTCTTTTTTGCAGAATAAAAGCAGAAACAAGAAATTAAAAAACAAGTAAATAAATGTGAACATACGTCAAAAAAGGTCCCAGCATGCTCCAGGATGAGTTGGCTGGAATCTGGTTTGTTTTTACAGTACGTCACATACATGTGAAATTTATCAGCCTGCGAACAGACAAAAAGGCAACAGGAAATTCATGACTTATCATTGGTCAGCAGCCTGGCCAATCACAGCCCAATCCCCCCAGTGAATCTAGGTTAGTTGTTTTTACTTCATCTTCCTTTTTTTTGTGGTACATTCCTTTTTTATTAGAGGCTCAAACAGCATACAACAAGGTGACAAATCTTTGAAAAGGAAAGGAAAGATAGGATAGAGGAAGAGGGGAAATAGAAATGGAAGATTGATTGGGGGAAGGTAGGTCAAGCAAGGCAGGCCGGGCCCGATGCACACCGTGAGCTGGCCAGAGGGAGAGGTCCGGCAGCCCCCAGGACAGCACCTCACCCATGACACCACTACCCCAGGCAGACCACACCCCACACATCATGGTACCGCTATTCTAGGATGGAGTTTGTTTGTTTTTTTTCCCCTTTTAGTCTGTTTGAGTGGGAGAAAAATGCTGAATTGGTGGGATGCATTAATAGAAGCAGGTCATGCGGGTTTGTCCAACCCAGAGAGGGAGAGAAAAGGGCGGGAAAGTGGCCACAGGAAGGCCACCACCCAGACCAGCACCAGCTCAGAGACCCACCCCCAGTGTCCCAGTGCCCCAGTGCCCACCCCCTCAGGAGTACAGGGCAAAGGGAGAGGAGGAAGCGAAACAAACTAGAATCTTTGGGAAGGGACGGGACTGGGGGGCTGGTGAAGTCAACATTGAAAGAATGATGGAGGGACAGAGAGCGAGAGAGAGAGAGAGAGAGAGACAGAGAGAGAGAGAGAGAGAGAGAGAGAGAGAGCATACATATGTGATGGTTGTGGATGCTGAGAGGTGGTGTAACTGTAGAAAATGATGATGATGATGATGATGATGATGATATTGAATACCCAGTATACAATACAGCACTGCATATATATATTTCAGTGTGCTGAGTGATAAAGTATTATAATTATAATTAAGAACTACTACTGCTCCCACCACTACCAAAAATAGCAATAACAATAATAAAAATTGCATTTGTGTGTCTGTGTCTGCATGTGTGTGTGTAAGTTAAGAGATGGTTGAACAATGATTACTGAGTGTATCTAGGAGCAATACTGTTATGAACCAAACAAAATGGAAATGAAGATGTTGACAGGAGCACTAGATACAACAGGAGTATAGATCAGATACCTGTACAAAGCTGTAGGCAACATCAGACATGCAAACTATCACAACTTTACATGTAAGTTCATATAATTACGGCCTCTGCCTTAAATCCATTAAGGTTCCCCAAATTCTAGAACCTCACCCAGGTGACAAAACAGTGGCCAACATCCTCTGGTAGCTGTTCGTAATTCACCAGCTCTTTCAAAAAGATGCTAGAGGAAAATCAGACAAATAAAGCACAATATCATTCATAAAACTACAGGAAATTAAATGTATAATACTATACATTATAATATATATAATGCCATATATATTTTTCATAACTTATTGACATTATATACTTTTTTCTACAGTTAAAAAGACAAGGATTTGAAAACGTCATGGGAATGACACACACTTGCTATGGAAATCATAGATCTCCTGAATATTCCCAAATATGACATGCTCCTTGTTCACGATTCCAGGCGGGATTTCCTCCACCCCACTTGTCATCTCCCATAAGTAGGTCTACAAGAGAAAAGACAAAGATAAATTGACCTTCACACTGAGTGCACTGAGTCTTGTGTGTGTTTGTGTGAGTATGTCTTTCCGAAACGGTTCAAGCTTTGTTAAGTATTAACTAATTCTTCAGTTGTTTGTCTATTGATCCCCTTCAGGGATCCAAGTAAATATTGCCTACCTCCAAGCATTCATGCAAGTCCCTGACATAGGCCTTTTCAGTTTGGAGAAGTTCAGCCATTATGAACCTGCATGAATAGAAACAGAATGATACAATGAAAATAGGGATTAAATAAGCAAAACTTCTACTTAAACCAATTATAACATTATAATGGATTATACATTTTATTGTAATATCAAGTGGTACAGTTGAATTTAGCCAAAATAAGCTACAGACAAAGTGTTTGTCGGACATGCTTAGTATGGAACATCAAGATGTTGTCTTCTCATTCATCGTTTAGGACCTTCAGCAGGTCTACAGGGCCTCCCCAACTCACTCCTTCTTCCTGGCAGACTTTCTCTTCTCCTCGTTGATCTCATGATTTGGGTCCCGCAGCTTCACCTCAGGGTCCGTCAGGCTGGCGGGGATGATGTCCAGCTCCAAGTCCTTATTGTCCTGGCAAGAGAACACCCAATGTCCTCAGACTCAAGGCCGTGTTCTGCATGACTCATAAATTAATGACCTCCTCAGGATTTTTCTAAACGTACATTTATCTGTGTCCAGAGATACATATAAATTCATAGCTTAAGTCTGTAGTCCTTTGTAGAACACCATATAAATTCAGTAGTAAGTCACCTTGGATCAAGTCATTGAGTAAATAAAAACATAAGAACAAAAACAACATAGCAAATCTTTAAAAAAATGTTTCTGATCTTATAAGCAATATGCTAGGATCATCCATCCATCCATCCATCATTCTGATCAGGGTCATGGGAATCTGTGACCACACTTAGCAAAATTAACTAAATAAACTAGTATTTTGAACACATATCCTTCTGCCACATTTTTCGTTTGAAGTACCATCTATCATGTTACCCCGGTCATTGCAGAAACTTTGTTAGTACACTGTAAACTCTGTAATCAGGTTGCTGCTTGTCTCTGACAGGAAGACGGAAATCGGGAGTCAAGCTTTTCCCCCCAAATGTCCGTGTGTATTGACAGACGCTCGCTACAGGGAAGGTGACTGCTATTCTTGTCCAACCTCGTCCCGGCAGCCAGTAATATAGGCCAGAGTGCCTCACAGATTTTTCAAGGGGAGTGACAACGGGACCCAGTTTAGCGAAAGTGACAAAGGCACCTTCCTTTAGGCCAGACATACTTAATATCTGCCTCGTCATAATATATTTCTCATGGTTTAACAAGCATTCATTCAGGACAAATGAAGAGTGTCACCATGAAGAAAGTACCTTTCATTCTTGCCAATTTGTGAAATAAGGGTGTTTGTTGCATTAAATTGGAAAAGTAAACAAACTATACAAATCTATTATAAGCACAATTTTGCACTACTGTCACTCATAGTGAGATGCTCTCCTGTGACTAAGAAGGAGAGACAGAATGGGATGGTGACAGGACAAAGGAATCAGGCAGGGGGCGTTTTCTCTCTTTCTGTTCTTGTAAGGCTATAAATATCGATCATCGTTCATGATTCTTTCAGGGAAGTGTGAAGAACCACCATGTGAAAATGGGATGTACTGCCCTCATAATTTAGATGATAGCAACCCTAGGATGGCTTGAAAAAATTACCTTGTTAAGTTGATGTGAGTTGACTCTGAGTGAGTGTGAGGATCATGGTCTTTTGGTGATCTGGTTCAGGCATAATCATTGGATAGCCAGCAACGCAAACAGGCCCATCTCATAAATTAGCCAAGGACGCAGACCACAAAAAGCCCATCATGGCAATTAGAAGAGGAAGCAAACCACTAGAAGACCCACCCTGGCAAGATGACCAGCAACATTTTTGCAAACTTCAATGTGAACTGGTAAATTTAGCTTAATTTGAAGTCAGCCATCAATCTCAGATTATTAAAACTTTGAAATTCATCCTAAAGTTTCACTTAAGTTGACTTATGACAAATCTCAGAATCCATCCTTCCTTCTATAACCTTGTGGCTACAGCCTGAATGTGACTCACCTCAGAGCAGATTCCCAGTGCTGTCTCCAGTGTTGACCGGTACTTCCCCATCCTCAGGGAGAAGTCTCTGTAACATTTGTCCACCGTAGTGACCCACTTCTTCAGCTCCGTCACGTGGACGTGACCCTTCTCCACAAAATTGTCCGCCAGCTGGATCAGAAGTTTCACCTTCTCCTTGGTTTGCTGCATGGTGGCATGTAAGCTTTTCTCACTGCCAGTCACACATGCGTGGCTGAGATTTTAGGTTGAACATTAGCGCCATGCCTCCAATGTGAGAGGGACACAGCAAAATGTGGGCCGGTATATCGCTCTGCAGGTTAGGTCTGATCAGAAGGTTGCCGGTTCAAATCCCGTGGTTAGCAGAGTAATGTACCCTTGTGGCGTTGAGGAAGGCCCTTAACCCCGATTTCTCCAGAAACTGGCTGACTCTGCTTTTTCAATTGTACATCGCTTTTGATAAAAACAACTGCTAAATAGATAAATGTGAGTAAATTAAAATGGCTTTACAAATCAATAACTTTATCGATCTGGTTTGAGGTTACATAAATAGAGGACGACTTCAGCTTGAAAGGGGTTCTGTCATGTTGACAATGCAGGCAGGCACACGCGTCTGAGAAACGACTCGGGAATGAGCCGTGTGGTCTCACGGCACGTCACCTTTGCAGCGACTCTAAAGTCTTCATACTCTTTCAGAAGTTCCTGAGTTCTCTCGCAGGTCTCCCCGGGAGAGGTGTGAGTGGAGAGGTAGTACTCTCCTGTTTCCTGAATCCAGTCTAAGGCCTGCGATGAAAATCAGAAGACCTAATCACCCTAATGCAGTGCACCACTGGAGAATTCAACCTCGTCATGTGACGTACAGAGGGCGGAGTTCTTATTAGGTGAGCCACGAGTCCTGAGATGCACCTTCTCGTCCTACAGCTATTGGTCTATGGCAGGGTTATTCAAATCACGGTCCTCGAGGTCCGAGCACTGCTGGTTTTCCAGCCTTCCTTTACCTGTCAGTCAGGTGTGAAGCTTCTGACCAATCAGAATCAGAAATTATTAAACTAACTACCTGAACTGAAAACAAGGCCTGGATTTGGAATCGAGGTCCAGATTTGAAGAACTCTGCCATAGACTATCCATGAGACATCATGATTATAGAAAAACCTTATATTTAAAGATAAGTATTAAAAATTAAGGAAACGTAAAATTTCAAAGTCAACAGTGCATGTCGTTACAGACTTTCGAAATGATACCTATTTGGGATTTTGTTTTTTTACTTAAATCTGCCTATTTGCAGGCTCCACAAATAAATTCTGATGGGTGTCTCTGCGGTAGGTGTTCTAGGCTAGTGTCTGAGCCAAGGGCACGTACTTGTTTGGCGCTCCGCTCGAACATCACGTACTGCTGGCACTGGTCGAGCCGGCGCTTCTTCATTGTCCAGAAGTGCAGGACTCGGTTCTCCCTCTGGAGAAGCTCGTTCAGGATGGCTGCGAGAGCCAGAGACATCACTGCGGCATCCACACATAGCACTCTCACGCTAATTATATCCGTCTCATTGCTACTTATATAAAAAAAAAGTGAAATGCTGCAAAGATCCAAGAGATGCAACGATAAATGGTTGCCCCTCTGAAAGCCAATGAAGCGATGAAGAAAGCGATGAAGAAAGCCAGCACTGACCTTTGACCTGCTGCTCTGGTCCCCGGGCGTGGCTGGCCACTCCAGGCATGCTGACATTATTCCGATGGATGTACTTCAGGAAGACTTCTGCGTTCCTCCTGGCCAGTGTGCATGCCTGTCCAGCACAGGGTTAACGGTGCATTCAGGAGCATTCTATGAAGCTGTACTTATGTAATCCAGCTGGAGTTCAGCTACTGGAAACAGTACCCCTGGAATTCTTCTGGGCAGCATTTGCAACCTGAGCTGAGGCTGTGTCATAATCACATAAATAACTATATTAATAAGTCACACCAGGAATGACCCAGAAGTTCAAGCATGCCACCACCTGAGACAAAGTCAACCCCCCCCCCTCTCCAAATGTAACTAAAAGCGTTCTAATTCCAGAACTCATTCCAGTCAGACTGACCGTAGTCAAAACATTGATCATGCCTCAAATCTGACAGTGGCCAGTTTGCTAATGAGCGGCTACAATCAGTGCATCTCTTGCAAGCCAACTCATGGTAAGATGTTGAAAGGTGTATGGATGGACAGTCAGTGGATCAGCAGTGTTTTATATCCCACAGCGATCCGGCTCTGCAGGGCCATCTCTGCATTTGTGTGCTGATGTGCTGAGGTCTGCCAGGGACCATGAAGCTGTCATGGGAGGGGGCTTGTTTGGCCCGTCTGCTGTTATTTTGAGCCAAGTTGTGCTGCTGTGGGCCAAGGTTACTGGGATAGGAGGAAATACAACAGAGCGGCACAATCGGGGAAGTGTCCCTGGCTCGCAGGGGAGGGGGCAAGCCCTTAAAATAGAACAAAGGAGAGACGAACACAAACAAGTGTAGAAAAAAAAGACAGTTATGTGACGGTCCCTTGAACTGTTAAGAACATGAGTAGCTATAATTAAAAGCTATGTAACTCTTTCGAGGGACCTTGAGTGATCCTTGGGGGTTTCAGACATATACCCTTAGGCACCGGGGCTGTTACTAAGTAACATCCCCCTTGTTCCACCTCATGAGGTTCAGCGAGTTTCCATTCAAGTCACGCTCAACTCTCTATCGATACTACAAATGAAACGGAAGCAAATTCTGCTACCCGAGGAAACCATGCAGTACAGATTTCTTTGGTTTGAGGATATGGTCACATCATGTAGCGTAACGTTTGTCCGTTCAAGATGGAAGAAGTGTTCTTCTGCTATAGGCAAGAATGTGGAAGTCTGAAGAACATATGGTCCACTTCCATAGGAAGGCAACTAATACAAAGATTTTTCATTGATGAAAATGGAAAGTGTTCATTTACTTTTTTTTTTGGAACCACACTTCAAAAGTCCATGCTAATTTAGGTTTAACATACATTTCTCATGTGGCCTTTTTATGAGTCGCTATCAGACTGATACGTATTACAGGGATGTGCTATCCTGGTCCAGCACTCTGACTGTCTCTGACTCTCTATAGATGCTATTTCTATGCAAGTTCTGTGGTCAAAAGAAGGCCAGGGAGGAGACGGCGTACTTTAAGGAAGGCTTCCTTCTGCTCTAGGTGCTTGCTGATGAGCGGGATGACGTGGTCCGTCTCTGCGTTGGCTCCCAGTTTGTCGTGGCCCCCGCACCAGTCCTCATCCCTCCTGTACTCCTGCTCCAGACTCTCCAAGACACTGCATACCTGAGAGAACCCCCACAGTCACTTCAGCAACTCTGACAGCCCACTGCAATAGCAATACCAAGGCGTTCTTCAGCCAAGAGACCACAGGAATCTACAGTGTGGCATGACTTGGACACACGCAGCAGCTGTTTTACTAGCTACAGATTATTGTATCACATATTCATCACAGATAAACAAAGAAAACAACAGTTCATAATGACTGCTAATCTTGTTGCAATATCCCTACGAAGAAACACAGCACTGAACATATGGATGTATAGCTTTTCTAATTTTTGCAGGGCTTATTATCAGAAAAATTATGTAGAGAACCCATAAGGACTAAAGTTCTTAGAAATGCAGCTGAAATATTAATGCAAGCAGCCTGGATGCTCCATTATAGCAGAACTAATTTTGACTTGACTTGATTGATGGCTCCGTCCTCCCCTAGGGGGCAGCGGTGCAAGGCTCACCTGCTCCGACGTCTTGTAGAAGGCCACAGAGGCATTGACCAGCTTGAGCCGATCCTCCATCTTGAGCATGAGCTGCTGCCAGTGCAGGGCTACCTTCTCAGCGCAGCCGCGGATGGCGTCCGGGTCGTAGTGGCCCGCCTGCAGCATGACCTCGGCCTTCTGCTGCACCTGGAGAGCGCTCTGGTGTGTCTTCTGCAGCGAGTTAGCGTGGAACAGGGACTGGGGGTGAGGGGGTGAGAGATGTGGTCACAAGGGGAAGGAGGGAATGAGCCTTTCCTTGGTCACTATACAGGCAAGGCAATCAAGTCCAGCAGTACTTCTTAAATAATAAAAAATAAAACTTATTTAGTTTTGGGGAAAAAAAAGGAAAATCTAACTGTGGTTTCATATGTATTTGACAGCATGATTAAGCATGTGCCCTGCAATGGACTGGTATCCCATCTAGAGTGTACTTTCTGGGATGGGATCCAAACTAACACCACAATCCTGTACTCGATAAGTGAAATATGGATGGATGGGTAGATGAAATTTTGTTATTGTGGGCAAAAAAGACAAGAACGCTGTTGCACATGGCTTATGAACAGAATCGGTCTCCTTTTGATGACATCATAAAAACCTGCAGGGGAAATTTATACAGCTTTTATTACGCACGAGAGTATACCTATTATTCTAAATACCGTGAACTTTACACGTCATCCTTTTCATATATGTCACCTTCAAGAGTCAGAGGTTTTCTCTGAAGTTAAATCATTGCCCTGCTTGGGATCTTGTTGGGTCAGAGGAAGAAATAAATCAGGATTTATGGTGCTCAGAAAGCCTTTTTTACAAGTTGATTCAATCTTGCAGAATTTAGCCTGCACAGGGGGAAACTCTGCTGACGGCCTGCCAAACCAAGCCCTGATTTATGCCCGCATTTAAGTTAATTTAAACTCACCAGAGGGGCCAATAGAAAAAACAGAGGCTCCAGCTAAAACAATTGTTTCCAAAACCTCCAAGATCGAAATAAAAATAAGCTAACAAAAATGAAACCACCATTTGGTATTTTATGTGTTATGCTTCCAACTGTCTATAAATTTAATTAAAGGATAGCAACCCTACACTGATAAAAAATCAATATGAAAATGTATAATAAACACTTTTTAATGTGACATATAGGTCTACTTAGCTGAAATGTAGACAAAGGATATTTTTGTGTAACAGAGGTAACATAAAAGCTGATTACATTAAAAAATGCTAGATGTGAAATGATTTCCCATTTTGTTGTCAAATCATACGTGAAAAGCTCACAACACACAATTCTCATTCCAAATTCTGACAAATCTTAGTTAATAGAGATTGATAAAAAAAATAAAAAATAAGTAAACCAGAGATACAGTTCATTGCTTTTTAAAACTGATTTACCAGTGCCATGTCTAAACACCTTGGATGGGGACTTTGCTTAGTAACTAAGATCACTGTACTGTTACTCAAAGGCTAAGGGGTTTGCAGATGCATCCAAAACTGTAGATTATTCTTCCATAAGGAAAGAGGAGACCATTAGGTAACTCCTACTACATCCTGCATGCCGAATCAGTAAAGTTTGATAAAAATGAACCCTTTGTGCAGTTTGTAAGTATGAATTCCAGAGAAGCGATGATTCCCAGAGAGAGCACATGGCCTGTGTGGTTCTCCTGAATGTTGGCTGCAATAGGGCCATGTGACGCAAACATGCTGGAGGCTTTCGTGTTTAACGGGAGATACACAGAACACTCCGGCACATGGTCACCCGTGAGCTCACCTCCGTAACACGGGGCTTGAAACCAAGAGGTTAATAAAAACCACTAAACAAAAACAGGCCCGGCGCTGCCTTCCCCCGCCCCTCGTCCCCGTCCCACACGCTGAAGCCATTAGCCCAGCCATCCCACGTTTCGGGAGGGGGGGGGGGGCATTACCTCGATGGCCAGCTGGAACTGCTCATGCTCCCGCTGCAGCTGCTCCGCCTCCGACAAGGAGCTGGCACTCACCAGACTGGCGTGGAGCATCGACTCCCCATTCCGGATCCACCCCAGGACCTGCGACACGGGGAGCATGCAGCTAAAAACATCACGCCCACTTTCCCATTAACCAATCGCTGCACAGTAACCATAATGCAACAGTAATGACATAAAGAGTCAATATAGGTTTAACTGTCACTTTCTCTGCAGGTACCAATGACAGCAGGCAGCAGTCTTCCCTAACTATAACTGGTCACTATAACTTAGTTCCAATACAGTACTAACCAGTAATAAACCAAATGTTTTTTATAATCAAACAATGAGGCATATGAACAGAATGGTTATCCTAGTGCATGTAAATCAAACTTCTGTAGGTGCATTACAGTAATAGTTAATAGCTAATGCATAAAGTACTGTGTAGATAGGGATGATGATGATGATGATGATTTTATATTCTTTTTAGAAATCTGAAAACTTGCAGATTTTACATGGTACCATCCCACAACCCGCAGCAGCAGTTTTATAGGATTCACAGATCTCTTCTTCCCTGTTAACAATGACAGCTGATAGACACCAACTGGTGGAAAGTGCATGTGCAGCATTACTGTAAGGTAAACAACATCAACATCCAGTGACATTCGCAAAACTGGAGAATGCGGATTATTCTAAAAATACCGCTGCCGAAATATTACTACTTACTCTGACCATTTCTTTTAACAATCCGAGGGAAATTAAAATTAAATGATCTGACGGCATGTAGGCAGAGGAGCCATCATCTCATACGAGATCCAGAAGGATCCAGAAGGATCCAGAAGGCTTCCACTGCTGGATAAAAAGTAAGTTTGCTGCTTTAGTGGATAGATCCTCCTGAGACCCCACCCATTCATTTATGTCCATTGTGGTGGACATTTTATTTTTGCATCTATCTTTTCACTGTTGTTAGGAAACGTATTTATTCCTGTTGTACACTAAAGAGGACATGCTGTGAAATTAAAAATAAAAATAAATTTGAAAAAATCTAAATTGTAAGATGTCTTATTTCCTCCAAAGACAAATAACCTAAAATTGAAGGACACTTTTTTCCTTGGGTCTCAGGAGCATATAGTTTGCCTGCATTGGTGATCCCTTCATGGCCTTATGTTGGAAGCTGGCTGAAGTGGTTTTTCTCATCTCACCCTGAGTCAGTACAACACTTTATACACATTTGCAGCTATAGAAAGTATTTGTGTTATGCAGCAAATTCTTCACAAAGAACATGGGGGAATTTCATGCTTGATTACCCCTCCTGCATCTCAGAGTTTTCCTCATGGATTCTCCTCTTTGTCTTTTTTGGGGGCAACAAATTTATGTGGGAATGCAGTGCAAGCCCCCTCCCCCTTTGGGAATGTCACTAAAGGCCGGCACAGAGAGAAGAAGTCCCACCCAGGCCAGCATCTCAGCAGGGAACCTCCTCCTATGTTGTGCAAGAGGATCTCTATAAACCTCCTCCAGACCCCAGATGAATGGACCTCATGCACAAACGGACCGATTTCCTTCCATTAGTCCAGAGGCAAAGTGCGGGTTCTCCACTGGTGGTCTCCTGAGACACATACGCTCTGTTCTGGACAAAATGAAATTACTCTGCAACACTACACCCCATCTTCCGCTTGGAGGACAGCACCCCTGAGCTCCCGACAACTTAGAGTAGCTGCTCATGACGTAAACGTGGCTTGTCATGAAAATGAACACCCGTCCATGCTGAAACAAATGCTGCCAGAGCGATGACATTAATGAGGCGAGAGACACACCTCCACCTCCATCTCACTGATGAAAGCTCATTCAATTATGAATGGATGTTCAACAGTCCTTTTGAGAAATATTCAATCGACGAATGATTGTATCGGGACCATCAATTATTCAAATGTATATTAGTTACAGTTTTCTACAGCCGAGAAGGTACGACATATTTCAGTAAAGGAGTGGGAATATAAAACTTTCTTAGGATGTTACTAAAAACGGCACAGTCAGTTAAACTACTTCAAGTGGAAAACCGATTCTGTGTTTTCCAAGAACATTCTTGCAGATAACTTTTACCTTTTACTTGATGACTTCCCACATGGTATAATACTTTTGTGCATTCATTAAAATATTCCTCCATGTAACTCTAGCATAGCAGGAGCAAAAATACTCAGAAAAATAATTCTTACTGCAGTGAAACCAAATGTACACATGAAAATTGTTCCTTATTTTTGCAAATAAGTTCTCTTGGGTCCACCGGTAGTTTTATATAGGAGTGAAAAGGCTGGAAAAGAAGGATCCAAGTTCTGGGCTTAGAGGGTGCTTGAGGTCAAGAGGAAAGGTGGTGTTCTCATACCTTAACTGACTAGGTGTGGAGAACTGACCAGTAATCAATTAACAGCAGGTATTTCTAGACTTTGGTTAGCAGATTTGCTGCTATTGGACACCTCCTCTGTGACTGATGCTAACAAGCAAATATGGAAGCAAATAAGAAGTTCCATAGGAGAGGGTCAAACCTGACCTGCTTAACCTCAGCCTGCAGGTGGCGCAGTTGAAGACATTGTTCTAGCCTTTTCTGCGTCTGGTCGGCACTCAGGTCCAGCTCGTGTTGCTTCTCGTGGAGGAATTCGAGCAACTCCTGGACCTGTGTGGCCAGGTCCACCTCCTTCTCACTGGTCAGCTCGATACCTGCAGGACACAGTGACTGGGGTGTTACTGGTCATGCAACAAACGAAACCACTTAAAATACCAGTGACACCATGACTTTTCCCACAATCCAACAAAAAATAATATTTCCTACATATATTCTTGTATAATTCTTACATCCATGTTCCTCTCAAATTCATAGGACACACACATTCCACCTTTACAAAAAAAAGCTGCATTATATACAAACAAGATTTTATACCATTTCCCCACTAGATGGAAGTACACCATATACTATGAGCAGTCAGAAGATTTTTTTTAAAGCCACTTCAAAGGGTTTTGTTCCTTAGAGCTGTTATATGTTGCTATATAGGCATATCGTCAAGGCAACGTCACAATGTTGGCAGGTACAAATTATCTTACCAGACTATTTTTGGTTATAAATGGCGCTATTATAAGCCATCGAAACAGATATCTGTGCTTTCCATTAAATGACTTCACAAAAAAGACGCACAGCTGTTTAATTAGCCAATCAAGCGTCTGCCTGGGCTGTACTAAAGTCACCGCACCCACTGATTACTTGACACAACTCACTCACCGCGACCCGAGAGCAGGCCAAGGCCGTCGTCGGGTAGGGGGGGAGAGTGAGCCATAATAAGGCAGGCAGCGTGTAGGAGCAACTCTTAGAAAAGGAGAAATGGTGATTTCCTGCCACGTTCCCCAATCCTTACTAAGCAGGCTTTGGCAGAGTAAGTCAGCTACCTTGCTATGGTTTCAACTACGTCAGACTAAATCTCATCGAGTAGAACATTGTGCTAATAATGCAAAGGTTGTGGGTTCAAATCCCAGGGTGCATACATAAATTACAACCATTCCTTATACTTTAAGTCGCTTTGGGAAAAAGCGTCAAATGTATCTTGTTAATTCTTGCTTAACTTCTTATTCGCCTTTTCATTACGTAGAATGTACAAAATCGTAACAAAAACAACACAGCACCAAGCTACTTGTAAAAGGAAGTGCCGGTATGCATTGGCCCCCTAATCCCCCCGGCGCAGAGCCACTCACCTGACGCCTGGACCTCCATGATGTACTGGTGCAGGTCCTGGCCTTGCTGGATGACCTCGAAGGTCATGTTGTTCATGGCCATCTTGCGCTCCGTGTGCCTCTGGAGCCTCTGCTCGGCCGGGGCCAGCTCCTCCGCGTTAAAGTCGCCCGCCTGCCGCAGGAGGTCCTCGTTCCAGGCATCCAGCTCCGCCGTCACCTGCGGGGGAAGAGCGGCCGGCGGTCAGTCCCCATCGCAGCAGCAGTCGGTCGCCTTCACGTTAGGTTCCAAGCCCATTCTGGGCGGATGGCCGACAGCTAAGGAACCACACTTAAGATCTACAAAGGTTGTGGGTTGAAAAGACAGGGGCTGCCCTGCTCACACAACCCAGATACTTAACCAACCCATTAGAAATATTCCAGCATGCAGTTATAAATTACTGTGGAAAAAGTCTTAGGCATGTCTAAGGCTATTTATCCAGGTAGTACATGTATATTTGCTCAGGAAAAAAAATACAATTTAACATTAGAACATGTGGAAAAGGAAAAGTACTACAATAAAAACGAACGAGAATTTCTTCTGTTCTCTAAAAAGTTACTGATATCTGAACAAAGCTTCAGGTCCCAAACCCCTCCTCAGGGACACCCCAGCCATTCCATGTGTTTGTTAAATTTCACCACCAGCTAACAAAATTAATTCATTAAAAACAGTTAAATGACTCATGGTACATTGGACAAATGCATGGGTACATTGGACAGCTGCTGCAAATACAGTACTGTATATAACCAATAGTGATGGGACTACTGAGGCTTCCAAAATTCAATTAATCGACGTGGGGATTATCAGTAGCTGGGATTATCACGCAGTGCCAATCACAGAGTGACTTAACCTACTTCTATCGATCACATAATTGTTTCTCATGCGGATTACATGGGCAGTGATTGACAGGATGAAGGAATGACACCCACTGAGAGCTTCAGGGCCTCGTTTCAGCCAACATTAATACCCAGATACATCATACAGCAATAAGGTATCGATTTCTGTACAGCATAAATCATGTAGTAATTTAATTATTGCAACAGTTAGCTACAGTATGCTCTGGAAAAAATGTATATTCCCATTGGCCTTTAATAATTCACTCTCAGGTATGACAAAAACCCTAAAAGTAATAACTGGTGTCATATTCTTCAACAACCAGCTTACAAAGACAAGATGATACTATCAATATCACGATGGCCAGACTCTCTGCGTTTGTAAGCGTGATATTGGTGTGAGGTCGCTGGTGAGTCTGTGCCGCTGAGAGTGAGCCTTTGCGTGTACGGCTCCGTCCTGGTGAGACGCAGCCAAGGCATCATCGGGCCAAGTGTGCCGCAGTAGACGTCCCTAAATGAATAGCCTGGCGCAACAGAGATCGTTGCACATTTTATCTCACCTCACCCTCCTGCAAATCAGAGACAGACCCTGAAAACAGACGACCTACAGAAAGCCTAACTGCCATTTGTATATTTGTATCAAAGGTAAAGTGAATCTTTGCTTAATGCTAATATAAAAAAACACAAGATGTTTCTCTTCACTGCAGATGAAAAGATTCAGATGCTTACAGCTTAATTACTTTATGTTTACCTTTTAAGTTCCCTCTATAAGGAAGAGCTGCATTGATATCAGTTCTCTAACCCCACCTCATTGTGTTGGGAAACTGAACATCAGGACCAGAGTTAGGCATCGATACCCCGGGAGACCCAAGGAGCCCAGCACTTGACAGAGGCCGCCGAATATGTAAAATTCAGAATTTTATTGTACAGCGGGGCGCCAAGGTGACGTGTCGTCAGGTGGACGAGAATTTCTAGCTACGCCACCAGTGAGTATATAGTGTTGTATCATATACTTGGAAGGAAACTGGTGCAGGACATGCATGCCCCTCTTTTCCAGTCTAACATCTCCTGCAGCTTCCCACAAAACAACAGCAGCTCACGTTAGGGGGTGCACAGCTGTATATAGCCAGTTGATGTGTCCCCTGCAGACCAAAATACCAATTTGATTTAATAATGTCAAACCACAGGAGAGTACACTCTCACATTATGAATACTCCCCACCCCTTCCAGCTGTAACCCCAGCCCCCCTCCCACCTGAGATCCCTCTGCCTTGGAATGGCGGGGGGGTGGAGATGCGACTCCATCTGTCTGTGGCCCCCCCCCCCCCTCACCTCGATGGTGTACTGCTCAAAGATGCGCAGCTGCAGGAAGATGTCCAGCTTGATCTTGCGTTCGTGGAACAGCTCCTCCATCTGGCCCTGCGCCTCGTCCAGCTGCTGCAGCACGCCCTCGATGTGGGCAATGGAGCTGCTGTGGGGCAACTTGTTGCTGGACATCGCGGAGTCTCTGGGGCACAGGAAGCGCACAGAGCGATTAAAGGCCAGGGGGTCGCCTTGGACAGGAAGTCAGCAGGAGCAGGAGTGACGGTGACAGGAAGTAGTCGAGATTTAGGCATCGGATGGCAGCACGGGGAGCAGGACACTGACTGCATGTAGCAGTATGAAGTGAATTTATTTATTGGCGTCAAAAGAAAACTAGAGTGATGGATTAGTGTCACAGTTGAGGTATTCGATAACAGCAAAGGCCCAGAGTTGATATTTACAGTTTGAAGTCAATGAAAAACAGACAGGCCAAAACAGCATGTAACCCATTCAGGGAACTCTTGATCAACTCGCTTAAAGAATTGTGCATTTCCGTGCTGATGCTGCAATATAATTCTGCTTCCAAAGAATCCAGAAACTGAAACTTTGCAAAAGGAGAGAATTAAGTATCCCTTCCTTAGATAATCCAAGAAATCACCTGCCAGCCTTTCAAATACCCCACACAGGGTGTGCCTTTCAGTATCGACAACGCGTTCTTTCTTACAGGCCTTGTCCAGGGTACATTAATCATCTGATTGGCTGATGACTGCAGTAAGATCTCATGATAGCTCTCATTACATCGACTGCATTTCTGTTGTGTGGAAGCCAGCACTGCAAGGCCAGCCCTGACAGAGACATATAACCCCATTTAGCTTTAATAAAACATATAAAATAACAGCGGCATTCAACAGATTAAAGGAAATAGCATTGATATGTACTGCTTATACGTGTTCGGAATATTGCTGGAAATGATTTCACCAGTAGCAACAAATAACAAAGGTATACACCTTCCCTTATGTCCACAGCCCAGAAAGCTGACATTTTATAGAGTTTTCCATCAAAGTGATATAAACAGTACAATGCAAGTAGCCCATTTAAAAAATATATGCTACATAATAATCCAAGACTCCCATGGAGCCAGAAACTGCATCTAGGTGCTTAAATTTATCTCAGAGTGATTCCAGAGAAGAAGAAAAAAATAAAAGACCCTGAACTATACTCTAAATCATCTTGTACACTTTTCTCACTACTGGTCTGAAATAATAACCAAATTGCTGGAAAAATTAGCTATGATCCGACACACTGGTCAGATAACTGCCATGGGTGGTCACTGTCAGCTGGCGGATACCTACACCGCCCCCTAGTGGACGGCCTCCATGGCGGATACCTACACCGCCCCCTAGTGGACGGCCTCCATGCCGGATACCTACACCGCCCCCTAGGGGACGGCCTCCATGGCGGATACCTACACCGCCCCCTAGTGGACGGCCTCCATGGCGGATACCTACACCGCCCCCTGGTGGACGGCCTCCATGGCGGATACCTACACCGCCCCCTGGTGGACGGCCTCCATGGCGGATACCTACACCACCCCCTGGTGGACGGCCTCCATGGCGGATACCTACACCACCCCCTAGTGGACGGCCTCCATGTCGGATACCTACACCGCCCCCTAGTGGACGGCCTCCATGGCGAATACCTACACCGCCCCCTAGTGGACGGCCTCCATGTCGGATACCTACACCGCCCCCTAGGGGACGGCCTCCATGGCGGATACCTACACCGCCCCCTAGTGGACGGCCTCCATGGCGGATACCTACACTGCCCCCTAGTGGACGACCTCCATGGCAGATACCTACACCGCCCCCTAGTGGACGACCTCCATGGCGGATACCTACACCGCCCCCTGCTGGACGGCCTTCATGGCGGATACCTACACCGCCCCCTGGTGGACGGCCTCCATGGCGGATACCTACACCGCCCCCTGGTGGACGGCCTCCATGGCGGATACCTCAGCTGCTGGATGAGGTCCTCTCCCTCCTTGATGACGTTAAGCGTGGCCTCCAGCGTGGCTGTCTGATGCTGCTGAAACTGCTTGATGAGATCCTGCACAGAGTCCACAGAGTCTGAGCACACCTCCTCCAGGAGCTCCTTCTGCAGGTCCTCCATCCATGTCCAGAGCTGAGGAGACATTCAAAATGTTCACGTCAGCAAGCCCAGTCAGAGTGTACCAGGCGTGACACATGGGCTGGTAGCAACATATTTTAGCAAAGCACTTCAGAATTTTCAGCTAGTTTACACTGGTAAGTAGATGTAAACATTTTTTCATACCTGTTAACCTTGTTCTAAAGACGTACCGAACCTCTCTCAAATGACAAATGTCAAAAGTAGGTTTGAGCATAAAATTAGCCAGTCCCAGAACAATGATTTGGCATGCAAATTGATATGCCGAATTAAAAAAAAAAAAAAATTGTCTTTTTCTTGGTCGGGGGTGTCTTCAATTTTCATGGTTAGTAATCGATTCCTTTTTAGCGAAGGTTAGAACTAGAATCATTAGCAGGGTTAGAGAAGTTAACCGTAAAAATATGTGGGATTTTTCTAGTAATGGCTAGAATTTCTCTGCCCACAGAGGAGCTGGTAGGCTGCTGACAAGCTGTTAGTCCTCACAGTCTACTGGTACATATCTCCTGTTGGCCAAATCTACTGGAAAATGTCTCTTTCTGTCAATTAAAATAGCAATAAATCTCAGCTCTACATAGTACATCACATCCATTACATCGGTCTCTGTATAAATTACATGTTTATGTATTTAAATTTTGGCAAAGACAGTCATCGCTTTTACATCATCAAAAACCAGTAAGAACGGTCTTCGAAAGTGCAGATTAATAATAGCAAACATAGCACACAAGCCTGACAAGTAAAATGGCACTTCACAGTTTTGACAGTGAACGTGTTGTTTTCTTATTTACACTCCAAAAGGAGCAAAGCTGTGTGGTGCTGAAATGTGGGTCATTGTAAGACAAGCTTAAAGTATCCTTTCAAAGAGAGCTGCTAAAATCTGAGCTGAAAAACAAACCACATATTATTCACAGGCATCTCAAGACCCAAAAGACAATTAAATCAAAATGCAAGTAACATTGCATTGATTTATCGATCGACCGTTCCATCCCTAATACACAATAACCCACAGAAATACTGCCAATTTCCACTCCCATCAAAGATAATCCACCGTTTTAGACAAAGCTGGAATCGGTGCCTGGCAGCGGGTTGGCGGCCGTTATCTGCGCAGCGTATTCTCTGAGTTATTGATCTCAAACTTGGCAAGGGAGGGCCACTGATCACTGATGGATTGCCCAAAGCTTTAACAAAAGCTTCTTAATCTAATCAAGTGAATTCTAATTAAGCTGCTCAAAACATTTACAGAAAACCTCCATTTTCTAAGAGCAGCACGGTCGACAAGTGTAATATATAACAGCTTTTCAGACAGGACTCCTCTCCGTGACGTCTGAGGCAACAGAAATAGTTGCCCTTTCATCATCTGCAGCATACTGGGCCTCTAATCCTTAATGCTAATGCAAATTAGCAGTGGGCTTTCATATCACAAAAGCTGTCGCTTCTAAAACAGGAGAAACTGAGAGCAAATACCAGTGACCACAAACAAACAATAATGATTGTAAATTTCAGTGTTAAATTAAAGCCTTAAACCACACAGTGATTGGTGAGAAGCAGCAATGATGAAAACCTCCATTATAGTATCTGAAGTGGACCTTTGCGGTCCTAAAGTTGACAGTTCATGAGATTATTCCAGCCATCTGGCTTTATTAAGCTGCCTTATTAAGATTGCTGAATCTGAAAGTAATTGTTTGAGTGCGAATAGTAATATTCAACATGGCATTTCAGGAGCAAATAATGTAATATTATCTTAATGATGTGGGCAACAGCAGCACCCTAGACTCTAAAGTTGCCTGTAAAATTTAATTTGCGCAATAAATCAGCCAAATTAAAGTTCACTTTCTTATGCTGATTATGCAACAAATATGAAAAACAATTTTCTCAATCAGGCAAATTCTTGAGTGAATTTCATGTTTAAAACAAAATGAGTCTCCAAAGCAAAAGGGTTAACATTTGTGCAACAGTGGCTTCTGCGATTTCTGCTGTTCCCATAGCAACTGTTCTACATGTCTGATCTGAGCACGCTCAGGATTACAAACAACTCTCTCTAATCTTTCTCCAGTCCTTTATTCTGCCGGATTCCTACTGTACATCTTAAGCCAAAATAGGTTTTGCAGGATTACAAAAATTTTTTAGCATACTGTAACCCTTGTGTAAAACACAAGATTTTGCCTGGGATCAAACTTGCTCCATATCAGCTTTCATTCTGAGGATGGTGACATCATTTTAATAAAAGATCTAAGTACCAACCTTCAACATAATAGAGATTAATAAAACCTCCAGTAATACATCATGTCTCCCTTAATGCTTTCAAATTCTGTGACCTGATCACACCTTCTCATTAGTCTACTACAAGCATGTTTATTACTATGGAAAATATTTATATTCAAATTAAATTGTGGCACCCTTACAGGTAAAAATTAAAATAGTTTTTCCTCTCTCAGCTCTAAATTTCATCTGAAAGCAAAGCCTTCCAACAGGCAGAACATGTAACAATTTCCCAGCCAATACACCATCAATAACCATAGAGCAGGATTCTTCAAATCTGGACCTCGATTCCAAATCCAGGCCTTGTTTTCAGTTCTCCCAGGTAGTTAGTTTAATAACTAACTTACTGATTCTGATTGGTCAGAGGCTTCACACCTGACTGACAGGTAAAGGAAGGCTGGAAAACCAGCAGTGCTCGGACCTCGAGGACCGTGATTTGAATAACCCTGCCATAGACCAATAGCTGTAGGACGAGAAGGTGCATCTCAGGATGAATCTCAGGTTGTGGTATGAGAGAGTGACAGACCATAGTGACACAAAGTCCACAAGACACACTCAGGGATCAACATTTCTCAAGAGAAATGTAGATCTTGTTCACCACAGCGATCCTTATTGAGAGAATATCCCACATGGTAGCAATAGGCCTATTCCATATCACTAAACTGAAAGTTTCCACTAAAAGTTCTCCATCTCCAGTGGTGAACATCCAGAGTCCTGCTCTTATGAATATTCATCAGCAGGAAAATCATTGCATCTTTGCCCTGGAACATTATGGATATGCTTTGAATTTTCAGAACCATCCGTCATTCAGAAGTGAGGCCTGATTACTCATAAATATTCATGGCTGCGGGTCGGAGACTAGTAGAACTCGTTAGTGCAGATGGGAATGAATGTAATCTCGCCGGTGGGAAATGAGCTGTGATGCGATCACTCAGGAGAAGTACACACAGCAGAAACAGCTACAAGAAAGTTCTCTCACTGCGTATTAACCAACGCCAATTGTTCTGTTATAAAATTGCAAAAATAAAGAAAAAGAAACAAAACTATACCCAGGAGCAATATCCATGAACTTTAAATAAACAACAAACCCTGCATAGAGTGCATCCTGACCTCCAAAGGCAATACGGGTGACACCAAACACCCAAATTCTCCAGCATCTTAAACGCATTTTTAAAAAAATATATGTAAATGTTATCGGGGACAGTTAGACAGGATCTTTACTTCAAAGCACACCTATGGGGACCTGCTGACCAAGCTAATCACTGTTACCTGCGATTATAACAGCTGCAGAAAAACCAAAAATATACCATCCCACTTTTTTCCTGAGACAGAGACTGATTCAATGTTTTGATAGCCATTTTACAGAGGTTCAGTCTTGAGATCTCATGGTTTTTTTCTTTTTGCCCTATGGATTAATATACTGATTTGCTGAGAATTGTAACTTGACCACCACTAGGGGCACTCCTGGGCTAGTGACACCCTCGACCATTGTGAACATCATTAGCAGGCCCCCCTGTTCATTTCTGTGTACTTGGCTATGAAGGCCGTGCTCACAACACTGCACAGGTGACAGCCAGCGTTTCCACAGCCTTCCAGAAATGCGAATTATTTAGCTTTCTGTTCACTCAGCAATCTGGATAACTCCTAGGCTCATTGCAGCCTGACATGCACACACACTGTGTATGAGGAGCTGCTTATTATCAGAAAAACACAGGATCTGAATTCAAAAGGAAATGACTGATACATTTTCAGCTCCATTTATTGCAATTTATTTCTGGATCACAAAAAAAGATCAGGACTAAAAATCATAAATACATTCTCTGGGAATATAAATGTAGAAACTGTAGTTTCTGCTGTTTTAGATTTACAGAACATTAATACACCACTGTGTCTCCATGGTGACCATGAGATTTTCCCAAGTGGTGAAATTCCCTCAAGCTGACAAGGCGACCCTGCGGCCTCTGCCTCCCAGCTGGCCCTCGGCCCTCCCTCCTGAGGGCTGATCTGAGGTGATTCCTGGCACTGTTTGCTGGTGCATCCTGCAGGAGCCAAGCTCTCAAAGTCGCTCTGGGGAAGGCCTGCCAAAGCCACACAGTAAAGCTACCAGCAACGTTTTTGGGCCCCTGTATCCCAAAAACTTTACTCTCCTGGTCTCCTCGAGGGTGCCGGTATCCCAAAGCCTGGCATGGTTCCATTCCTACTGTATCCAGAAAGTGGTATTTTCCAAGCTTTTACGTGCAGGGTGCAGAAAGTGGGGGGAGGGAAACAAACTGTCAGCTTTATGGCCGCTAACTCAACCAAATCCCATGTTTGATCCCTCTTATTCGCTCAAAGCAAAAATTATGTTAAAACCTATTTTAGCTGCCAAGGACCTAATACACCATGTATGATCAATTTAACATAGCACAACAAAAGCCTTTCCAATATACAGACAGACGTGGGACCATAGTACAGGGAGTCTACACAATAAAATGGATCATTGCCTTTGCATAAAGTCAGAACAGTGGGTTACTTAAAACATAAAGATGTCAACAAAGAGCAAAAGAATGAGCCGACGTAAAACAGCAATTCTTTGAGAATGCCCCAAGAATAAAGAGCAAATCCATATTAACAGCTTGTAAGATGCAGTGTAGCAAATCTGTAATCCCAAAATGATCTGAGATCTTGTTCCTGATATTAAACCTGCTGAGGGCTTAGAAAGACCCCCCCCCCACACCACCCCACCAATCAAAAAATAGCTTTCTATCCTGGGGCCCACCGCCATAACCACATTCCTAGCATAGTTCGTAGACCACCATGGCTGTCTGAGGAACAGCTCACGTTGGAAATTAAAGTACGGAAGGATCAAGGGCTTCAGAAATTAATCATCCCACCAGTTTGAAGGAAATACATCCTTTTAAAATTCCACCTTTTTAAATTAGGAACAGCGGGCTCAGAGACACTGGAAACGGGTCAGTGGAATGCAGTGGCATGATCGCAGGCCAGCGTCCGAAAGCAAACTGGCTGCATTCCAGGCGTCCCTTTAAACCTGCCCCCTCGTTCGATGCTGGAAGACCCAGCTGATTAGGGGGAGAGGGAGAGGCATGGCACAGGGCAAAACAAAAGACAAAACCTTCTTTTTGGAGACAAAGCAGAAAAACCCAGTCTCCCCGAGTCCTGCAGATTATCATTATCCGATTATAAACAAACAAATATGGATCATTCTTGCTCACATTTCAAGGAGTGCTACTTCAGCACAGCACAACCTGTCCCCATGGGAATCTCCACTCTGCATGTTTGACTCTGCAGTGGACCTGTGCCAAAAGGCGGACAGCATCACAGCACACCGCAGAAATGGCAGCAGCATCCCAATGGAATAGATGCTACTTTCATTCTGTTTCTAGTTCCCCTCATGCTTCACAGAATTCAATATCTACAGATTAACAGATGAATTCAGTGACCACGCCAAGCCTTCTATCCATCTCCCAAACCATGAATGAATGTTATACAAGAAGGAGAAATGGGAGGACATCTTACCTCTTTGGTGTGGGTGTGGAAGGAGACCGACATGTCTAGAAGGAGCTTTCTCTGTTCCACCCTCCGCACGAAGTCCTGGATCCGGACCTCCAGGTGACGGGCCGCCTTGTAGATCTCCTCTGGGTCGCATTCCCCGGTCTGCGCTAGCTGCTCAGCGGCCTCCAAGAGCTTGTCGGCGTTGGTGTAGGTGTTCTGTCCCAATTGAAAAACAACAGAAGGCAGGTTTAGCATTGAGGCCCTTCAACATCCCCCGGTCAGCATTGTGTTGAGGGACCCAGATATGAGTGCATCAAAGCGAAAGCCAGCGGGCCATCTGGGGCTAAGAGCCCCGGCATCATAATTCCTGGGCTGGCAGCAGGTCAGGCCTGCTTATTTTATCTGTGTGTCAGTAAGTCATCTGCCATCAGACCGGATTACAGCCCGGAATTTGTGGGCCTGCCTGGGAAATCCAGGGAAAGGTACCAGTGAGACCACCTCATGAGGGGGATGACCCCAGTGCATTCAAAAGGAGGTGTAATAACACAGCCTTACAGGGAGGTGGCGCCATTGCTGGAGGAGGAAGACCTTACGGGCATCTTCAATCACTGACAGGTAATCAAACCTGTTGCTACATTTCAGTATATCGCTATGAGCCAAAATCAACAAGGATACATTTACAGTTCTGCGAAGGCTAGGTGCCTTTTTAGTTTTGGCGTACTTTTGTTTACATGCTTTATTTATGCAGCTGTGCTTCAAAATAATTGCTAGGTCATCCATCGATCCGTCCTGGAGCTGATCCGAGGAAGCCCAAGGTTCCGAACAAGAGCCATTCCCCAAGCCTGTTTTTTTTATGTTGAATTGGTAGCTAATTCAGAAAAAATAATAATACAGTAAATAATAATAATGATAATAATACAGTAATAATAAGAGTAACTACATACAGCCCTATACTGTTCCTCAAGCCACAAACTGCCTTGCAGTGTTTTCATGAATATCACATTGTGCATTTGTTATTGCAAACCATTGTATTTAACATGAATTTTTAATATAACAGGCTTTACAGAAGTTTGTGTGTAGGTACAAGTTGTCCGTAAGTCAAGTGTCCTTAACCTGGGATTGCCTGTATATTAGGGGTGGGAAAAAAATATTGATTTTGTGATTAATTGCAATCCTGGTTTTCAGGAATTTAATATTGAATTCAAGATCAATCTAGTCAATTTATGCGTTTTCTTCGTAATTTTTAAATTTTTTTTGCTGAATTTTACCTATCAGTCCTCTTACTGTATAGGTGGTGAATATTTCTCTCTCACCTATAGGAGGGTTGCAATAACAATGCGCAATCGCCTCATGCCGCCATCTTGGTGCATTGTCAGTAAATGTTAATGGAGTACTTCGAGCAGGCGAATGCAAGAAAGTCAAGTCAAGTAGGGCTTTATTCTTACACTAATCATTTTCAGTACACTGCTCAGGGTAATGTGAAATAACGTTATATAAAAGCAAAATAAATAAAATGAAGTAAAAACAAAGTATCTAATGAGTTTACCGATATTATTGGATGTGACCTGCTGTCAGTTATGAGAATATTGTTAATTATCTGTTTTTTCAAACTTCGTGAGTAGCACTGAAGCGACTAAAAGCAACTCAAAGTCTGCAGGTATGATTTATTTATTTCTGGCTGGTACAACAACTGCAGAGGGAAAAGTGTGAACGAAAATTTTTAGTGTATTTATAGGGAAGTATAACAATAAATTTCATCTTATGATAACAGTTTTTCGTTATCTTATTTGTCATGTAATTGTAACGATTACATTGCTTTGCAATGTTAATGCTACAGGGCTGTGCCTATTGTTTTTCCAACAGATCTGGTTTGATCGCACATTAGTGAATGTGTCTTAAACATATACTGAGTCCAAAACTGGAATCCAATTGGGCACTTGTGAATCAAATTGTGACGTCAGGGCTGATTACCAGCCCTAAACAATATTCACATGTGCTTCAAGAAAAAAGATTCTAATTTATGTGGTAGCACATATCTTTAACTTAAAGTCATTCTGAAACATGGGATGTGAGTTTTAGACTTGCCCATTTTTATTTTCATTGTTTCATTGTTATATTCATTGTTTGTGCTCTGAATGAGACAGGTTGGTTTGTTTTTAAGGAGCTATACCCATATGCTCATCAAATTAAAACATTTTGAATTGAATCAAATAGTTTACTTGGGAATTGGAATCGAATTGGGGCATCTGTGCCAATACCCAACTCTATTCTATAGAAAATGATCTACTGCTATTACTTTGCTCGTTTCCAGCCCAGAATTCTTATCTCTTACTGATTTGGGCGGGGTCACTTTCAGCAGATACAATTACCTCGTTTCCACCAGCAACGAGCTGGTGTTGCTGCCTGTGCTGGTTCGGTTCTCGCTTGGTGCCTTTTGAAAACCAGCCTGCGTGTCCACCCGTTTCAAAAAAGAACGGAACAGAAATATTATCGCTTTTCACAGAATAAAAAAACGCTGCATCATTTATATAACTTTGTTTTAGTCCATCTTAATATTTTACATAAAATATCTTATTTTCAGCAAGTACAATCCATAATATTTTAAGCTATTTTACGATACTTTGTCTCTGTAAAGGCTCCCCCATCTGTATTCTTGCTCGCTGTCTTTTCGTGGATCGTGTAGTAAAATTGGCTAAAAACCGAACTTTGCTGTCTCATGATTTCTTCGTCCACTCAAACGCCATAATATTTTATTTATTCGAGCTGCGACATATTTATAGGCCTACTTTATTATTAAATCTGTCCGGCAGATCGATCTTTCGTTCTTCTCCGGTAAAAAACGATGTAATCTTATTCCGTCAATAAGCTGGCAAGTTGCTTCACTGCCAGCACAGCCGTTATTAGACTGGATTATGGATTGAATTTTCCGGGTATACCGAAGGTTTGGACGCCATAGCCCGTCCCACTTCCGCTGACGTTACGGTGCCACATTCTGAGCCCAGATTTTCTGTGGTGCCATGCTGAACCCATTTTTCCTGGCCCAGGTGTGGAACCAGTGCCGGATTGGGAAAAAGCCCAGAACCAGCACCGCATTGGTGGAAACGAGGCTAATGTGGCGTCAAATTAAACAGGCAGTGAAAGATGAGACCTGAGGTAATTTGAAAGGTTTCCTGTAATATGACAAACTAAAATGTAATATGTTATGTTATCTAATTGTCTCCATTATTCTGTAGACCACCGACGTGTACGATATGTGTGACTCTGAGGAGAACATAGGATTCCTGAGCCATTTTCACCGTCTAGTCCTTCCCACACGTTGTTGGACAAGTCCCCAAGTGGGCAGCCCTATTCTAGTCGAAGGTCTTTCTTCCAGTCTGGAATTATCCCAGCAGCCCCCATCCAGAGCTCCCAGTAATTCTCTACAGCAAAAGCAGCATTGAATACCACCATTCAGGCTTATTCCGGAGCTGCAAAGGTACCCCTCTCTCGCCAGCCCTGTCTTTCCTCCAGCTCTGCAGGATTCACTCTGTGTCTTTCTTCTCGGTGACCACTTCACAGAGCTTGTTTTAGCTCCATCAACAGATGCCCAGATTGTGGGTCTTTCAGGGTTCCGCTGGCCAGTTCAAGTCGGATCCTTCTATTTTTTGTTGGCCAAGTATCATTCGTGAAGTTTGTTAAATAACTTTCGGCTCCTATTAATCGTAGCTCTTTTATTTACACCTTGTTTAGCAAGCCGAAGGGTCAGTGATTCAGTGTTTGCATACTATGCAGGAATAACTGGCTCCTCAGCGCCAAACCATAAGCAGCAATCAAGGTTTCATACACTTTTCTAGGATGTCCACAGGCTCAACTGCATTCTACTCCTAGCAGCAGGACTTTCCACCAATTTAGAGTGTCTTCCTTGGTGGATGGAGCCCAGATTGAATCCTCCTATAGGTGTCTGTGTGAAAATAACTGCAAATTTAGAAAATCGCTATAATACTCATATGAGTTAATGCTGAATAGAGATTAAACTGAAAGGCACAATGAGGAAAATAAATTTGGCTTTTTCTACCAGAATAGCCTTCAATAAAAATGAGCTAAAGCATAACATCACTGGTGCTTTTATTTAATAAATGTATCATTTCAATCCACCGTTTGTGTTATTTACAAGGTTTTAAAGTCTTAGTTTTTTCTGCCTTGGGAAATTTTTGATGTTCCCATGCTGATTCCACAAGTCCTCCAGTTAGGTTTGTGACTATGCAGAACCAGCCATTAGACATATGAGGTGAAAATCCGAATGCCAGGACAATCATAAACGCATTAAAATAAACTGAAGCCATTTTGTCGAGCCCCTGTCTGAATGGTGTAACTTCTGAATCTGGGAAGTTACAAGGACAGTACATTTAGAAAACCCAACGGAAACACCAGAGGAGAAGGCAAACTCCAGCATGAGCTGGGATCAGAAACCAAACCCGAACTACAGAGTCACTCAGCCAAACTCAATTTCATTTATAAAAACAAATAGTATCCATAGTCTCCCTTCTGCTGTCCAGTTATAATTAATACATCCCGAGCTAGAGTAGGAAGCATTTATCTTACTAAAGTTATTTCAGTAAAAATGAATTGATAGGAGGGACGGCATCAACCATGTATGAAAAATTGAACGCATTCATATCCTGCCAAACTAGCCACTAGGAGTGAGAGATGAACTGGGACACAATTTGGGAAAAATTATTTTTGGCTTAAAAATTCTGGCTGAAGTATCCTGGCCATCTAATGAAAAACTATAAGCCTATCGGCAAGGCATATGCAAGACCACATCTGCTATATAAAATCAGCAGTATGGAATCCCTCTGTTCCAACTGCTGGCGTGTTTTATGTCTGGGCTGTTGTACTGAAATGTTGGAATGGTGCTGTCACATTAGTGTTCTTTCTGATTTATTGGACATTTGGATCTTGAAAGGATCCTGTTTGGGTTTTCATGCCATGGCTCTGCTGCCTTCTGCTAACAGCAGGAATCTGATGGCTATATCACAGGCAAAAGGATACTTATGGACATGCTCTCCTACAGCTATGGATAGATGCGGCTTTATCTACTACCAGTGGCTGTCTGACCAGAAGTTCCAGTCTATTCTGCAGCATATGAAGCTCCACAAATCTAAATTATGGATCATTAAGCCTTAGATACAAACACACACAGTACAACCCCCTCAGCCCACGACCAGTGTTGGGAAGGTTACTTTTGAAATATAACAGATTACAATTTACTACTGCCTCTATGAAAAATGTAATTTAAGTTTTGATTATTTCACCAAAATAATGTATCTTATTGCATTTGATACACTTTGATTACCTTTGTAACAATTGGGCAATAAAACTGAAAAGTCAAATTTGTCCTAACAACTTGCATTGTTTGGAAATATGCTAAAATAAGGGCACTTCTGCACATTGAAAAGATGCAAAGCAACAGCATGAATGGTATATTGTACAGTACATATATTTTTTTCCTGAAAAAGATATATCAGGACGTAACCCCTTTGTAATCAACAACATTGTTATTAGTAACTGTAATTTAATTAACTGTAATGGACTACAGATACATTTATTTTGTAATTTAATTATGTAATGTGGTTACATATAACTAGTTACTCCCGAGGACTGCTCAGGCCATGGCAGGAATTGGCTGTTTTAGGCCCTTCTACTTGATATGTGCAATATACAGTATAAGGCACTACATCTTATCAGAAGGCATGTTTTTCATGTAGTCAATGTAAACCTATATTCTTTTTGCAATTCATGTATATTCTGGTATTCAATTTTATAACCTTTTTGCTTAACTTTTTTTTAAAACCATTTTTGCTTAATTTTAAATTTTAAACAGTATGAAAGCTTTAACAAAAATAAATCCAAATAATATTCTTCAGTTCAGGAAATGTCACTTTGCAGTTAATTGAATTTCAAGAGCACACTTGTAAAATAGATTAGCACAGTGGTTTCTTTTTGTTTTAAGCAAGTGTTCGGGCAAATTAGCTTGTTTATGGTTTTGTATAGTTCACTGCCTTGTTGCTGACAGGGCTTTTAACATTGGCAGACTACCACTCCGTTATGAAAAGAATAGAGCATCTCGGGGAAAAAAAACGGAACAACAAAACACAGTGACATGTTTTGAGACGGGACCATTGTAATCCTCGTATAATAAAACTGAGGGCCGCAGCTGTTTTCAATCAATGCAGTTGATGAAAATTTCTAACCAAAAAGAAAAACCCCATCTTGAGAGACTGCAGTGAAATGCCCTGTGGTTCAAGGGGGACTAATTCACAGCAGCACATGACATATGTTTGGCAGGACTCCTCCGAATCGATTTCCAAGCGTAGTAACAAGAAGCAGGGCATGGAACAGATCGCTGGGGGGGGGATGTACGGCCTGCGGAAGTAGGGATTCGGGGGGGGGGGTCTCACCTGGGCTACCTCCTCGAAATCATCATGGCGCTTCTGCAGTGCCCGTGCCCGGTGCAGTGACTTGCCCACCCCCGTGTGCTTGCTGAGGAAGGCCTCTCCGTGGTTCTCGATCCAGTCTATCACCTGCAGGAGCAGAACACATGGTCAGTTGACATTTGGACAATCGCCCACCCCGTGTGCCCGGGCAACTTCCGAACGCCGCACGCCACTGCAGCTCTCCCACCACCCTGCCACGCGCAGCCAGGTTTAATCACTCGCAAGCAGCTCAGGATGCAGCTGAGTTCTGCAGTCTAGACCAAGAGATGCGCTCCTGAACACGTTTGAGAGCCTTGGTTTTCATCTGCTGTGCTTATTTTAAATTGAAACTTTGTCAGCATAAAACACGGAAACGTGGTTTCCCCAAATAATTAGGAAAGGCGACTATTTGCATATGAGGTCATCTGCATACATTTTGTTGTGCACTGGAGGGAAAACAACCGGCTACGACTAAAATAAATCATTGCCCTGTGGCACTCTTGTGATGTCACAGTCCAAACTAAAACGTGCGGCAGCAATCAGTTTAATTTGTGGCCACAGGAAACAGCAGCTCCCAGCCCGGTTTTAATTATCTTATTTTCCCGTGTTGTCTTTAAGGCTGGCCTCCACATCTACGCGATTTGCACGCCAGAGTGGGGAGGGAGAGGTCCTGGAGACCGCGTGCGCATGTGACCCCACACCGTCACGCAAGCCTTCCGACCGCTTTCCCCTCTGATTAATCAGTCTGCAGAAACAGGGACTTTAGCCTCCCACGTCCCTGCAGCTGTCACGACAGCGGGGCAAGCAGCTCGAGGCAGCGCCCAGCCGCTCGGCTGCTGTGGGGGGGGGGGAAGAAGCACCCACAGGGAACTGCTCTCTCTGCCTCTTTTCATGATACTTGCTGTTATTTAAAACAAGCATTCAACCAATCAAACAGCAGGGAATTTTAACTTTAACTAGGAGGCCAGGCAATTTACCTAATGGTGCACAAAGCGGAGAGTTTTCAGTCAGAAAGGCAGTCTAAAACCAGTACTATAAAATAAAGACTACTATTTAAAAAAATGATTTAGCTCAATGTTAGGCTCATGTGAGATACGTAGCCCAGTGAAAATGTTGGTTCAGATTAAACCAAGTGTTACTGGTAAGAGAAAAAGATCTTGCCTATTAGGTATAATCAATACAACACCAAACCAAAAGTAATGTGCAAAATAATGTGTGTATATATATATCAGCATGAAGACATATAGATAGTGGGTGAATGAAATGTCCAATATTTTAAAATCTCAAAGAAGTCTGGTTGTCGGGTTTATACACTATTTTCCCCACAATGTCCTCCTTCAGCATAAATTTTGCACAGTAATACACGCCTCATACACACAGAAGCACCCAACATTACCTCTGAAGGCTCTCCAAGCCATTAGGCAATTTAAGCGGCAAATGATTCTAGCCCATTATTCAGTCTAATGAAATCATTGCATCGCATTCATTCTCGGTCGAATATTCATTGCAGACATTCCTCACGCATCTCACAGAGTAGAAAGTCACCATTTTATTTAGATATTCAGAGACTAAACAGTCCTCGCCCCTTCAGCAGAAGTAAATGTCAACATTCTCTCTTCCTGGCTGCAATGATGAATTCAAAATGTAACATAAAAAAACAGGAATAATGTGCTGACTGACTTCCTGCCCAAAACCATAGTTGCAGCTCCAATGTTTCAGATGATTCTCATGCATTTCACAGGCAGAGTAGATGGAGGGATCCCATTGTAATGGGTATTCCCTCTGTGAGTCACCCGCTGCGAATGAGGACAGTCTGCACCGGGGCTCCGCTGGCGGGTGTCTGCGTGCTCGGAGTTGATAAACCCTCCCCCCCCCCCCCCCCACCATCTGAGTGGGGCCGCAGCCGTCCTTGGGCTAGCCTGCCAGCGAGTCATCAGCGCTTGCTTACTATCGCAGCTGATGGACTCGGAGAGAGGTAGAGAAACAAAGGGAGAGCAAGAGAAAGAGGTGGAGGGAGGGAGGGGGGGTATGATGAGGGACGGCCCGGAGAATTCTCCTGTGGATGGCGAAGTAAAGACTAATCCACAGCCAATATAATTGGGATTTTTTTATTTTTTTGGGTTATTTTCTCCTGCTATAGACTCTTCTGCCAGCCTTCCCCGTTTTCACACGCTGGCCCGATTATTCGCAGTGATGAAATATAGCTATGACTCTGCCTCACTATTACACCAAAAAGTTGGGGTCGTGCTCAGAACTGGTGGTCAGTCACTAGGTTGGTGGGTACAGTACATGGTTCCCAAATAAGCCAAAATTCATATACAAATTTACACAATTATAAATCAGTCAATAAACTGATACATAAGTTGAATATAGTCACTATTCTATTGTCACGCTCCTAAATTCATAGAAAGCTCTCTTTAGTCAGTGGGAACCAGAGCTCTAGTCTTCATCTTGTGCAGAAGGTTCCTTCTTGTTCCTCTACAGAGGAAACCGGGTCCAGACCGGTCAGATTTAATTCTGGGAAGGCATCCAGTATCCTATCTCTTTCTGCACACAGTGTAACCCCTACTATATTTTGTTCTAGAGAGCATTAGTGGATAATAGAGGATACCGAAAAAAACATAAAAACATCCACAAACACACACATGCACAGGCACACACACCCCAGAAGGGCAAGAAGAAATGCAACGTAGGGAGCTGTAGGCCTTCCAGCCGACGGCCTGCCGGAGGATAACAACAGATTGTCTGCGGTGTCCTATGTGCCCTGTGTTCTTACTGTAATTCACTCAATTTAACACTGACTTATTGTGTTCACTAAACCAATCGTGGCACATTTTTAGGGTCAGTGCTATTCTACTGTCACTAAATAGCAGATTTTGACTGGTGTTTTAAATTCAAGTCATTTGTCTTGAGTGAATCCGCACATTAATCTTGCAAACCCTTATCTCAGACAGCATCCATGGGCCTGGAGCCTATCACAGAAAGCACAGGGAACACCCTGGATTTGATGCCAATCTTTTGCAGGGCACATAAACACCCACACACACCCCCACACTACAGGCGAATGTGCAACACCAACTAGCCTGACTGAACATCTTTGGACTGCGAGATGAAACACGAGCACCCATAGCAAACCCACACAGCAGAGGGAGAATATGCCAACGCCACACACACAAAACAGACTCAACCCCCCCCAGGGGGAAGGAGCTCTACCACTGAGTCACAGTGCTGCCCTCGTACAAATCTACGTGAAAATTGCCTGAACTAAACTAGCTACTACACTACATTGCAACATAATAAAAAATGAGGAATTTTAACCGAAGTAGAGTATACAAAAACCGCACAACTGGCACAAGGTTTACTCAGGGTGGCCGAAATAGAAGATGATCTAATGGTGCTTTTACAGAGTCCGGGATTATGATGCTAGAGGACCAGTGGGATCAGGGTTAGAGGGGGGTTGAGGGCTGGTCCCTGGGGGGGGGGGGGGGGGGGGGGGGCTTTTCCTGGGGTCAGGCTGCAGTGAGCCTCCTCCAGGACCGAGGCGTCTGAGGGCAATCGTCAAGTAAAATTGTGGATGACTAATGGGGTGGGAGAGGGGAGGGGAGAGAGGAGGCACGACGGTGACTGAAGTTCAGTCTCATTATGGGATGTGCAGGGGAGAAGAGCCCAATGGGAAAACCCCAAGCTTGGCCCATAAATCATCCTCGGCGAGGCCGGCAAACGCACACGTGTATAAATCAACCGGCATTCCGACATGCACTCGTTGTCACACGCATGCACATTAAGAATCCTCAAAACATACATGCATGACATACTCAAACAAACTAGACTTCAAGACGTAAAACAGCAATGTGTGGTTAGCCGAGTAGAAAACAAACATCGTACGCAATTATTTTTCACAGTCAGTAAAACCAAAAATCAACACTGTTCCTGTCGACAGGATTTCTGTCGTCTTTTAGGGCCCGCACATGGATGCATGTGGCACAAAAAACCAAAGAACATCAGCCTAACATCCCGAACGTTTCCATGCAATGAAAATGATGGAGTTTTAAGTTCTCATCTTTGCTCAAGAGCAATTCGGACCAAACAACTGCATAAGAGAGACCCAAAAGCTGGACCGCAGCTGGCTGAATAGACAGGAATACTGATGCACCAGGCGCCATAACCTTTTGGAAGAAGGAAGATGAAAACGAACGCCTGCTATGGCATTACACACAGAGCCTCCCGTGTCGTATAATGTTTCATCATTCGCCAATCAGCTGACGTGTCAAACTTGTGATTCGTGATTTAGTTCTGCGATTTAGTTCTTTACCTGCTGTACGTCCTGCTGGAAGACGCAGAGCTGCAGCCGCTGGTGCAGCCGGACCTTGCGGTGCTGCCAGATGCCCTCTAGGCGGCGCTGGTGGTGCAGCACCTCATGCACCACGTCCAGGATGCAGTGCACTGCCTTGGAGTAGTTGGCCGTCGCCGTCAAGGACTCGGAGTTTCCCGGGCTTAGGGGGCGCTGCAGTACATCCAACAGGGCCTTGCCGTCCTGGCTGACCTGGGGTCAGTAAGGAAATGAGAATCATTGAGTTGAAGAGTGTTTTTTACCTGGAAAAACAGCTGAGGTCAAGTGTTGTCTATAGTTTTCATAATAAGTAGTGAAGAAGTGGCACACATTCCACTTAGGGTGTGCCCAGCCTCACAATCCTGCACTGGACACACTGTTGGGAAACTGACAGAACCAGCACATGATTAAACTCACTGAAACCATAAAACAACATTAGAAATCTATATGATGAAAATAAAACAGAATGTGGGAACCTGCAGCTTCCATTCATGTGGAGAAACACGTCACATGCTTTAGAAATGGTTTTCCCATTTATAGCATGGACTAGCTAAACAAAGAACCGGCATTAAAAGGCACAGTTAATACCCCATATTCTTCATGATCAGTAAACAACGGCGCAGTGAATCGCTGAGGACGGCACATGGGAATATTTATAACAATAAGAGAGAGACAGCGGGAGGGAATATGCTGTTATACTTAAAACCACACTCTTCAAAAGCAGACTGGACTTGGTCCAAAGTAATATTTATACAATAAATCATAACACTACATAATTTATTTGAAGTTTCATACTAGTAGTATTAACATTTGGCTATCTAAAGACCATCCGCAAGTTCCAAACACTTTTTGTCTGTCAACCACAGGCATGACAAGAAGACTCTGTACAAACAATGGCAGCAACTTCTTCTAGAAGAGAAACGTCAGGGCACGTTAGAAGAGAAGCTCCACTGTTTTATCAAGATTGATCCTGTTTTGCTAATTTTCCTTGGCATGACTTTTAGGTCGAGCCTGTTCTTGCATGGCTTAGCGACACACCCCTCTGGGGGTGGGGGGAGTGGAGGGGGTATTTTCTTGCAGACAGCCCCCTGCCATCTTATCAGCTTGTTTGTTTGCCCTGTGCCAAGCAAGTCTGCGTGTTGTTTGTGAAGAAAACAAGGTCACCCGCCAGTGTTTAGCATTCAAAAACTATTCAGATTTCAAAAATAAGTTTCCAGCTATCTCACTGTCTAGTAGACCCGGCCCTGAAGAACTTTCTCCTGCTGTTTCTACCAGCATGGTCACATCTCTGGGGATGTTACAAGGTTTCATCTTGGATTAAATAACCTCACAAGGCCAAAAGATGACTGAAAATTAATACAAATATAAATACAGAAGTGCCTATAAGTAAGGTCTAATTATCATGGCCTCCTAGATTGAGTTTATGCTGTTGGGCACAAAGTAAATTCATAATTAATCAGCTGCCCAAGTGTTGATCTCAATATTCCAAAAGTAATTGTGCTGCTGCCTTGTCCTGCTTGTCAAGGCTTCAATCAATAAATCTAATTAGCAGCAATTTGTAATTCATGAAATGAAAGCGATGGTGTGATTGTTTATTGTTATTTAATCAGTGGCTTAATTATGTCAAGAGAACAGGCATCGTAGAAGGGGAGTCCTTAATCAGATATACAACTGTTCTCAAACCTCTTTCCATGTCTTAATACGCATGAAAACATTACTTTCTATTTAATTAAAAATAATAATAACGATGATAACATTGATAACAATAATAATAATAATAACTAAATGCCATTGTATGGGTTTACTGGATTTTGCCATTTTCTGCTGAACACAACAGGTCTGCCAGCTACCTCCAAAATAAACACAGATTCCTGGCCTAAATAAAGAGGAATTTGCCACAGGTAATTTGTCCTTGATTACGCAACAAATGTTTGGCTTCGCAGCTCTCGATTACCAGCCACACTTCAGATATGGGATTTGCGATGCGTTCAATTCATCCCTCCCCCAAAACGGTAGGCAGTGCGGAGGAATGCACACCAAGGTCCTGCTCTCACTGCTAATTGTCTCAATTCCTGCATGGCCAAAATGACATCAATCAGGTCAGGAGCAAAGTGTGTCGAGGCCCCGTGGGTCTCACCTCGGCGTAGGCCTGTGTCACCTGCTCGTACAACGACTGGTGGTGGTGGATGGCCATCTCCAGCTCCTGCATACCCGAGGGCAACCCCCCCTCGCTGCACATGCTACACCAGGCTTCCACACCGGACAGGAACTGAATGGAGAGGGGGGGGGGGGCAAGATACATGATGTCATATTTTTAAAGACATCCTAGAATTACACGATTACATACCAAGTGTAACTTGTACACAGTTAAACATTTAGCATATACCAAAAATTCCTACTTTGTTTATAACTTCTTAAAGTGATACGTTTAAACACCTTTCCAGTGCAACAAAAGAGGATAACTACTTCCCATAATAATCAATTTTTACAAACTGATAAATATTACCTTATTTATCTTCAGAGGAACAAGATGTAACACAAACGGTTCTGTGCATACCACAAATTTTTATTCTTTAGGTAACTCCTTATTGACTCTTTATAAATCACTTTAGATAGTTTGCTAAACAATGAAGGAAAAAAATATCTAAGAGGAAATGTAAAGTATTACTGGCAGTAAAAACCCCAAGGTTAGCAATCATTACAGCATTAGTAACTAGTTTTCCTCTGCTGTTATTAATAATTCTGCACGTCATTTGGTTTTTCACCTCCACAGCTGTGCATTTAAAAATGTATGATGCACGACTTGTCTTACCGCCTATTATCGATTATGTTATAGCAAATGCTATTAACCAAGCTATAAATCCTTTTTTTCTGCCAGAAAAAAAGATTCTATCCCTTCAGCATTTTATCCTTGGTATTAGTATTGTTGACTGCATGGTTGATGCTGAAATTCCAGGCTTACAAACAACGGGACTCGACCTTTCCTTAACCCCCTTGGCCGTCGCGTCGCGTTGCGTCGCTCTCACCTGCTCGGCCTTCTGGTGGAAGACGGCAGACATGGCGAGGATGGTGCTGCGCTCATCCAGGGCGGCGGCGAAGCTCTTCCACTCTTGGTCCAGCCGAGCAGAGATCTGCTTGATCTGCTGCGAGGCGTAATGTCCGGCTTCTGAGAGACGCGTCGCCACCGACATGATGCGGTTGATGTTTACGTAGGCGTTCTGCCCCGTGGCGGACGGAGAGTGGAAAATAATCAATATACTGTACTCACCTCCATAAGAAACCTGCAGTCCTTGTAATTTTAATGCCACTGACCTTTAAAATGTAATTTAATTTACTTTCATGCACTGGTCATTATCTGATGTCTTCGGTATCGGTCGTATCATGTTTTTACACACTGTGCCAATCACCATAAATAAAAGACAGATCGTTCCTAAGTATGATTGTAATTCTCACGTAATCTGAATATTACATTAGTATCAAATATACAAAGATAACCCAGCGCAGCTTTAAAATAAACAAACACGAGTCGATAGTTTTAAGTGAAGCACATTTATATATTTATTTTGCTAATATTATGACCAATTAAGTCACAGAAATTAGCTGCTGTTAATGCAGGCAGGTGTCTGCTCCATATGAAATGCATTTGACTGCTGATATATGAGCCAGAAGGAACAAGACAGAGTTTCCTCCAAGAACCAACTGATGCGTGAGAATTCCTAAGCCTCCTTGTCTACAACATTCTCTGTCCAGCGGAGCCTTCAATCTGCAAAATCCTGTTTTCACAGACCCACAAATGCATCCACGCTTCCCTAAGCTAGTACTTCCTTTTACTTTCAAGACCAGAATAACTCTCTACCCTACTTGATATTTTTGTTCTTTTAATAGAAAGTAATGCATTTTAGTTATTCTATTATAACCCAACCAACCTTAGAAGTACACATACCTTAGAAGCACAACTGACATCTTATTCATTTCAATCTAACCATTACTGTCATATGAATCACATGTACTTAGCGCATCATGAATCACCACAGAACAAAGTCTTCCTTTGTGAACACCAAGCACGTTTTTTTATGAAATGGTCAGGTTTTCGTGTGATTAAATGGCAGTAAATGCACTTGAAATTCTGCCCGCTGTTTGGTGAAACTTGAACACAACTGGGTTTCAGCAAGGTTTTTGCACTGCTCAACACTTTTTCTGAAAACAGTCATCATTCAAAACAAGGACTGACTAGCACTCAACATTACTCATTCAGTGCCACTCACCACTACTTATGAAACTTCACTTAACACTACATAACACCATTGCACCCAGCACAATCACATCTCCCAGGCGCTAAGTCTCACATAGGTTTATATTTCTGTATTTTGTACAATGTCACATCAGCAGTCATGTGACTGGAGATTCAAGAGTTACGCTCCAGCTGTATCTGCTCCTTAAGACTGCATGCATAATGCATTGTTTTGGAAAAATGATGCCTAGGTGAATTACATCATCACGTCTCAGTCATCTGATAAGTGCTGGAGTGTGGGTGAACACTAATCATCACAGAGAAATAAAAATACCCATAAATCACATGACCAATGCATATATAAACTCAATATTATTCTTCCAGGAAACCACTGACACACAAATCCTAGCTGGTGAATTTTCAGGGAATGACAGACAGTGTAAACATACCATGGAGTTCATGGCGAAGTGGTTGTGTTGAGTTTGGAGGTCCGTGGCATGCTGGTAGCCAATTCCAATCTCTGTGTGGCTCTGTAGGAACAGCTCTTTGTTGTGACTGATCCAGTCAAACATCTGTGAAGAGAGAGGAAACTATTTATGGTTTTAGCTTCAGTGTTTGGTTGCATGGATGGCTTGATGGGTACATTATTAAAAGGCAAAGAATGAACACAATCTGGGATTAAATGAACATAATCAACGAAGCAATGGAAAAATGCACTTTTGCAAAATTAATTTTCATTCAGTATAGTGTACTTCTCTCAGGTATTACAAAATATTGTGTTGGCTCAGGGCAAAATAATTTAAATTGGCAAATATTAAGTATTTTTTATACTTTTTTTTTAAGAATCCATTAATATACAAGTATCAATATGCAAGATTTCTGCTGCAGAAAGCTCACTGCTTTCTTGTTTATAATGTTCAGCATAGAAGTACAGTACACAATAAAATGACACATTTCACAAAATTGTGTATTTCACATATATATCAACCAATCAGAGTGCATCTTAGTAACCAATGGCGTTGCCACCAAAACACACACAGAGCCATCATAAGGCATCATAAAAAACAAATTCTCAAAGTTCTCAGGTAATTCCTCGCCTTCTGAACAGTGCAGCACACTGGAAATATCATCCTTTGTATCAAATTTCGAATCATACTTTGGAACCTTAAATCACAGAGAGACACCAGTGAACTTAACCAGAATGTGGCTATTGAAAGTTTCACATCAAACGCTATTTTCGCTTTTCTCCTTTTTTCGTACGCGAATCAGGTAGTAAAAACGAGTGCTAAATGTAGGTCTTTAGCAACAGCGAAATGGCGTAAAGCCAACATTCGTAAATGGGGGGATACCTTTACGTATATTTAAGGATAAGCGCCACTGGATGATAGGTATAAATCTTTTGTATTATGAATGAGTATTATCATTTTTATTTATTATACATTTTAAAATGCATTTGATATATTTTTCACTGCAGCAAAACAGCATCTATGGTGTTAACGTGTTTTTTGCCAAGTCAAGTATTACTTGCATCATTCCAAGCTGAAGCTGACCAGGGCCCTATAAGCAAATTAAACTGCGGTGTTCTGAACACCTCTAGCTTGCCAGATCTACTATATGTCTTAAATGCAAGGTTTTTTCCTTGGAGTCTGCGGTCTGTTCAATGTTGCCCAGCACTGACGGCAGTGAGATCAAGATCCGGCCTCTCTCTCTAAAACCTGTCCTCAGCCGACCAGTACGCCCTGAAAATAAATCACTATCTGGGCCAGTCCTGATCAAAAATACAAAAAAAATCCTGAGGGGGGCACAATTATAATTAAGGAAATTACTGCCTTCACCTAAATGAGGTCCTCTAGTCATTGTCCAATTAGTTCATCATCACGGGTTGTGCAAGGATATGAAAAATTACGCAGAGGAAGCACGTACATTACAGCGCCTCCATTTCATAGCAGCTAACTAGCTAACAATCAATTTATTGATTCTTTGGCTGTGGCTGTCATTTTGAAGGATTATCTAGTCCTGATTCATTTCCAACTGACTAGCTCACAGACAGGACTTAGTAGAACAGCCAAATGCTTCTATTAATTTTTAAAAATATATTTTATCAATTTGTCTGACTCTGTTCAGGTGAAACACCAAGAGTGTGAATGGCCGGTCAGGACTTCAAAGTCAACAGCAGCGTCCCGCGTAGTGTCTATAAAAAGTAGCCTAATGTGTGTCACCAGGGAATGTGATGAAATTACCCAGCATGCCAGGTGCTCACAGCCTTTGGATGTCTCCTGCGATCTTTACTGGGACCGTTCCGTTACATTTCCAGACAATAGCAGTTCCTGATACTACTTCATTAATCTTTATTAAATGCTGCTTTAACAGTGTTAATACCATTATGGGGGACCCCTCTGTTTTGTATGCACCTTTCCAACCCAAAGCGCGATGAGGTGGCCTGTGGCAAACTATAATAAGTATCTTTGCAAGCATCTGGGTAGCATACAAATTAGAAGGGTTTATTTAGATAAAAGCAAAGCAGCTAGTATTATGGAAAAGAGTAATAGTGAATGAATACCAATCATCCACTGGTACATCCCAGTGTACTTAAATGGTATAAACATTTCCACGGAACAGTGGATTACATACTGTTGAAATCCTAATAAATTTAAATGTTTTGCATGTTTGCACTTGTATATCTTGACTAAATATTTGTCCTCTAAGGCAGAAATATTTATGAAAAGCATCCAAAACATTTCAGAAAGTCATGTTATTATTAAACTACTTGAAATTCTCATTTAATTGAACAAGGTAAAGCAAAACTACTGCCATTAAAACATTTTGCATAATCACTTATATTTCTTAGACATAAACAAAATTGACAAGATTCCATCTAATGTAGCTGCAAATGGTCAATTCAAGTTAAAATAAGTTAAGGGATGTATACAGAATTGCCTGAAAAATATCAGTCAGTCCCTTTCCAAAGAGATGAACAAACCTCACACCAAGGAGAGTATAAAAATACATCATTGCTACGAAAACTGCAATAATGGAATCCTATTTTTCATGCCAATCAATGCAATACCTGCCCGATAGAGTATTATCAATGCAACACCTGCCCAATACAGAGTATTGTGGCGTTAGCTAAAGACCTCCACCCGAATAACACACCATTCACACATCAATTGCCAGAAAACATTGGCAGCCATAATTATTTAATTCATCAATCTGCTTCCTGTAGAGACTCAGCACAAGGCGGGGGGGGGGGGGGGGGCACTTCGAAAGACACCCTCACTCACCATGCTTGTCGTTCTCTAGAACAATGTCACCGGTTGCTGCCTTATGTTCAGAACATCTGTGAGGACCTGATGAATGTCTCCTTCCCAGCTACACAACAATATCGCTCTTTGGATTTGGCCACAGTCTGAACTTCCCTCTTTATAAAATACAATTCACTTTACTTAACAGGCATGGGGTAATCTCAAAATATACTTGTATTTTTCCCATGGCACCTATTACCCTAAAACTGAACTGGGTTGGAATTTTCATGTCACACGTTGCATGAAGTCTTTATACTTTTCAGAGCTTAGTATTCATCTTGTCTGGGTAAAAATGGGAATTCGATTAATAATAGATTACTAGCCATGCTTTTTCTTGCTTTATTAATGCTGCATCTTTCGCTTCGCCTCTGGCACTATCCCTCCTGCCTCGCTATGGCCGGCTTAAGTATTTTTTAATTAAGGGACCTCGTAAGATTATAAGACTCTATGACAACGCCGTCTTCCATGGTTATGTCACCCATAGTCAACGTCATCCTGCCCTCCAATCCCTGCCTCCTTCGTACTCTTCTCAGACGTGTCTGCTCCCCGCGGAATTCTGGTCAACCTTCTTCTCCTTACAGCGGGGTTTTTAGTTGAGCCAATCAGGTTTCTCGTGGTCTCCCCGCCGTAACTGGATTAATTCCCACAGGTGTCAGGGGTAAAGGACCATTACAGAGGCTCCGCAGTGCTAAAGACCCCCGGCAGAGGGATGACCGCTTATAGACACGACTGTTTTAACTGCCCAGTCCGGTAGGGGGGGGGGGATTCCATTGAGAGCTGATGGAAGGGCCCCTTAATTTCTGCAGTTACTGTAAATCACCTTAAAACTGACAGTGCCATTCCCACTATAACCATAATATGCCAATTTATATCTTAAGCTTAAATTTAGATTTTACCCGACATACAGTTTTTACAGAGATACTTTATGTGAGTAATTGAAGTTGCCCCCAAAGGGTGCTAGTCTGTTTCCTTTCTGGCTTATAAGTGTCCCTCTCATCCCAGTCCATACCAAAGTGGCCCCCCAATCTGATGTATAATCACACCCCCCCCCCCATCTGGTTTATAAATGTCCCACCCCCAACTGGTTTTGTAAGAGTCCCTCATATCATGGCTCATATCAAAGTGGCCCCCCAATCTGATGTATAATCACACCACCCCCCCTCCATCTGGTTTTTAAGGGATTCCCCATCCCCGACCCCCCCCCCCCCCATCAAACCTGCCAGCTGCCCACCTTCTCGGCGTCCTGCTCGAATAGCCGCAGCTGGAAGCACTGGTCCAGCTTCAGCTTGCGGACGTGCCACATCTGGTGCAGGTGCTGCCGCGTCGAGTGCAGCTTGTCCAGCAGCCCGGTCACCTTGGGAACCAAGCTCTGGAAGTCGGCGCCTCCGGAGACACAGCCGCGGCTGGAGAAGCCACCCTCGTTACCGCCGCCGCCCCGGATGCATTGTAGCAGCCGCTGGCCCTCGTGGTCCAGCTCCTCCACCGGCGCCTTCATCACGCGCTTCTTCAGCTGCGCGTGCTCCTCCATGAGCCGGCGCGAGCCCTCCACGTCCACCGGGAACTCCTTCTTGGCCAGCATCTCCTGCAAGTCCTCCAAGCGAGACAGCAGGTGCACGGCGCTCCCGATGAACTCCTCCAGCGACACACGTAGTTCCATCCATTCCTCGTGGTCGTACTCCAGCGAGCCCTCGAAGTCGTCAGTCAGTTGCGAGGGGTCCACCAGCTTTGTCAACCCCTCCACTGAAACCATGCTGGTCTGTCACGACACAGCGGGGACAGAAGATTGGCTGAAGCTTTGGTGTAGATGCTAAGTTGACCTGAAACTAGCTAATGTCTAACACTTACCAATTGCTCACAAAACTGACACACACAAACCAAGCAATGGAATTCTGTAGCTTAACAGAAATACAACACATTATAAACAACTTACTGTTGTAAATGCATTTTAAAAAAACATTCCTTTTTTGTCCCTGATATTTAAATTCTTAATTCATAACAGTTTTCCCATTCCAACAGCCAACAAACATCTTCTTCCGTGGGTAAATTGTGACATTATTTAGAATAATTGCAAATTTTATAAATATATTATTTATCTCTCTTCAACGCCCTTCTCCCTGTGTTTGAAAGAGGACTGAATGTCTCTTTAAGAACACTGATTTGACATGTTGGAATAAAAAAAAAAAAGACTAATTAGCAAGGCTTCACTGGTCTGGGTAAATGGACTAACAAGCTAGGCAAGTAAGGTAGACTGTGTAATTAGACAGTTTAAATGGGGTATGTGTGAATGTCTGCCAAATAACAAATAAACAACGAAGAAATAAAAACGGCTATATAAATAAGGATTTCTGGGTCAAAGCCCTGTTGTCAGCACACTTGTGGCAATCTCACTTCAAAGGTGAATTTGGCGCTGCCGAAGTTGGTCTTCTGCTTCTGCCAGAAGTTGTCGGGCTTGATGATGAGGGCCACGCAGATCTCGGCGGGGAAGGCCTCCTGCAGGGTCTTCAGCAGGGGCTTGATCAGGTCCCACTTTGATCCGCGCATGTCGATGATCACGGTGAAGCCTCTCTTGCACACGTCCTCACTGTGAGGGATACAGGAAGGAGGTGATGTCACCACCAGCACTCAGTCCCCCGTGGGCCTGGAGGCCCCCGTGTCGGGGGAGGGGGGGGGGGCGGACGCTCTAAGGATAGTGCAGAATTTAATGGCCCTGATATACACCGCTGGTGTTTATGGTGAGTGAATAAATTAAACTGGAATCAAACCGATGATAGATTTGGCTCAGTTTTAAAAAACAAACACCTGCAACCCAAATACCTCAACTAGTGTTTATTGAAAACCCCAAGACATAAATTTCCACATATAACTTTTATAAAGGCTGCCTGTACAAATTCAATGAATTCATAGCTTTTTATTAAAAATCTCCCAAACAGTGATCCCATCTTATGCATATAATAATACAGAATATTAATAATAAAAAAACAAGGTTAGGAGGCTCTGTTACTACTGGGATTCTTTCTTGGCCCATTTTTCCATGGGACCACGTGCCCACCACAACTGAAAGATAAAAATATGGTGTAATTGCTTTTCTCTGCATCGCACCGTAGGGGAGCCCTCCCAAACACATCCTGTATGAGCGCAGAGCCATTCTTGGTTCCGCTGTGAGGAAACGGGTATGCTTGACGAAAACAAAACAAAAAAAGGCACGGCGTACGCCACCTTGTAGCGACTCCAACAACGAAGGCAGCCTCATTAGTCCGTTCATTTCCTACAATTTTCCGTAATCATTGGGTCACTGGTCAAAAAACAATCAGGGCAAGCTGACATCAAGATTGGGGGTGTGGGGTGTTAGCCCATGGCCACTTAAGTCTGCTTCTTTTTTTAACTGGGGGGCAGGGGAACTAACAAATCCCCCATCAGTTTTAAAGCAGGATTGCTTTGCTGCAGAGGGTGAAGCTCTTTCTGTTGTCAAACAAAATAATAAGCAAGAGGAAAGTCAGAAGGGCACCTGCAACGCCTCTTCCGCGCCCCCGTGACCTGGCATGAACCCACCGGCTCCCCAACCTGCCTCTCTCAAGCTCGAGACCCAGGAATGCAAACTGTTCCGATCTGGGACAATCAGCAGTAATGCTGAAGTTCTCTTAAAAGAGGAATTAACGTCAGAACATGAATCGAATTTGAGTCTATAGCGATAAATATAAATATAGAAATTGAAAACAGCTGATCAGAATAAATACTGTAGACGGCTAAGAAATCACAGATGTACAGGACATAAATAATCTATCTATCAGGGAAGCACCTTTAATGGACCCATTACAGAGGAACGCCTTTGAATTTTACTGAAGACTGTTAAAAATGCTCATCTATCGAAGGCAGTTAAATGTTCGGCAGGGCCTTGATGATAAAGAGACGGAGCCTGCGTGGCAGTATCTAATGATGTCAGAGTCCGGGTAAACGCTGGATAAAATGACACAGCGTCTCCGCTACAAAAGGGCTAGGGAGTTTTCCGATGAAACCCCGCTCGAAACTCATAGCACATCCCCACCGTCAAGCTGTGCTCAGCAGTGAGAAAAATACGTAAGGGAGAGATTTTTGTCTTAATGAGCTGGGCACCTATCGCTGGAGCTGATCAGCCCAAAATAGCTGATAACAGCTCTGGTAACAGCAGAAAGAGATCTGCAATAAGGATTTCTTCCAAAGAAAAAGAGAGAGAGAGAGAGAGAGAGAGAGAGAGGGCTTTTGACAGGAATTCACAGCTGGCGTTGAGGGAGGTCGCAGAAGTAATGATTGAAACGCTTCCTAAATGCTGATCAAGCGTGGATCCACTAGAGATGAAAAAAGATTTGTGAGTCTGGTGAAACCCAAACTGACCTCAGAGGAGATGATCTGATTTATACAACATGGAAAGAGAATTATGAATAACTGCTAATTGGTTGGTTTCTTCTACTATCCGTATGTATCATAAACCCAAAGTAAGCAAAAATTCAGCTCCAGATTTATTTATTTTTTGATACCTGGGCACAGTGGACAGATATGTCACCAGTCTTCGGAGGTCCTCCTGCTTTATTCTGTCATGGTTGCTTCTGGCGGGGAATGTCAGGATTGGACCACCTCTCTTGTCACGACCCCCTGGAAGAAGAGAAGTCATAGTTTACTTTGGAGACTCACATAAACAGGCTTAACCCTGCAAAAAAAGCTCAATCTGTCAGGGAAACAGAATCTCTTCTTTATGTTGTAGTACTCTGAGTTTTCTAAGAAACATATGCTGAGGTCGCAGGTTGGCATGGTTACATGCATCACCGGTCATCCACTTGTGTCCTGCTTCAAATAATGCACTATTCATTAGTCACTAAGCTGGTAATTATTCACGTTGCACCTTAAGAGAGTCGAGGGATGAAATTGGGTCAATCAGGGTTGGGCGGCTGACGGGGCATCGCCTGACATCACTGCTGTTTCCCAAAACCCTGCTCTCGCCCTCCCTGCAGCCTCTGGTCTGCGTGCCGTGCCGCACTGCAAGATCGCCAAGGAAACCACGCGGTTCCACGGGAACGAAACCTCCCGAAACTCAGCATTGGGGTTGCTCCTTCTCTGGGAGAAAGGTGAACACATTCAGCAAAGTCCCAAGGCTGTCAAGTGATGAATGGCACGGTAATAAGCGTAATCAGACCCTTATTTAGTCTTCATCTCCATGAAAAGGAGCCTCAGAACTGGTTTACTAGTTACTTTCGGTTGTCTCTGCCAGCCTTTGAGACAGGAACTGGCTGCCGCACAAACACATTGTCTGAACCAGGTCACTGACTCGAGCCAAAAGTCTAAGGTCCTGAGCCCAGGACCCTTAATCTCCCGATTGCGTTACTCTCCAAAAGAGTTGGGAATGTGAGGACAGCAACATGATCTGATGCTGCTTGATGCTGAACGTCCCAATGTACCTGCCATGACGGTATTTCTGTGCATTTTATGAAACATCTCAAACACTTTGAATTAAAGCCTTATCCCCTATTAGGTTTAATCTGGTCACATCCAATTTTGCCTTTAAAAAGTTTTCTGTCCACATTTTGAACCACTCTAGGTAAATATCACAGGCCTGGTGCACGAGAGGCCTACATCACAAAGCTGAATTTTTGGATTTGCAAGGGAACTTGTCGGATTTAAGACAGTCTGGGCTAAACACAAGTGAACTAGGATAAAGTCCGTTTTAACTGGAGTAACTTAAATCCAGCATGTTATCCATAAATCCAACAAATCTTGCTTTGTGGTACTGGCCACAGGCATTCGACGACAAAACGGCTTGCAGAACTTAATTTAAAAAACCAAGATAATGTTTTAACTACCCCCCAACTACTTGTTGCTTTTTTTCCTCAGGTGCAGCTGGAGAGATTATAGCACAAAAAACCGAAATACCCAGTTTGGTAAGACGAAACTGAGATGAACATTTCCTCTCCTTATTAAATGATGGAAAAGCCTTTAATGGAGAAACCCGTAAATCTAGATTGTTACTTATGGCTCGGGAGGGCCGTAGTGAGACCCTCAAAGCCCGTGGACATGGAGTGGAAGAAACGCTAATCATGGTCTAGACCGTAGAACCCACAGAATGTCTGCTTTCACGTTTATATGGGGTGCTACATAAATAATGTCTCTTTTCTGCTTGGACTTTATCGTATTTTTATACATATTTTGAACTCTCTGTGTCATCAGAGCTAAGACAAGCAAAACAGTAAAGTTTCCATCAAAGTAAATACCTCAGCTCCTGTGGACAAAACAGCTGGCAGACTGAGAGAGAGCAGAGGGGCTTAGGCTGTGTTTGAGTGAACACACAACAGTACCCGCTGTGAGTATATAATTGATATTGATAATCTTTCATTACCCCGGCACTGAGGTCCTTAATGTCAGTCAATGGACAGAGGGCTCTGTGGGACTAAAACAGGCTCTTCTCTGTACATGGTTATCTCCACACTGCTCAGGCATGGACAGGAATCCATGTCCTAGGTGGAAGTACCCATCCTCCATGACTGCCTCCTCTATACTCACCTGACACAAAAGCCACCTTCTCCTTCAGAACCAGCAGGACGTCAGACGCTTTGATTCCATCGTTCCTGAAAGACCCTGCAGAGGACAAGAGGCGCAGCAGTCAGCTTCTCTGTAATCTCATTAGTGGTCCAGCATCCCTCGACAGCTCCACACGCGACCTGTGTCCCAGTGGCAGAACTTACAGTGTCACCTAGAAGTCGGTCTGATTCTACCCACCACTGGAGGACATGCCTGCATATCACAAAAAGGCAGACCAATTTCAGAAACAGTGCTGATGTTTTTCCCAGACCAGTGTACGACAACAGCAGCGGACAACATGCTCCTTCACAAAGCTCATCTTATAAGCCAGTGTTTCCAAACCCATTCCTCGGGGAAACCCCGCACAGTCCACGTTTTTGCTTCCTCTAAGCTCCCAGCGCACCTGTACAGGTATTCGGTGTTCCTGATTGGCTGGGAGCTGGGAGGGAGCAAAAATGTGGACTGTCCGGGGTCCCCCAAGGAATGGGAAACACTATTATAAGCCATTTAATTTTTTGTCCCTAAATGTGACACATTCACAATGCAGTAGATAATTTCTATCCCAGTATCTCCAAGCCGCACCACTCTGACTATTCATATGGAAAAGATCATTTCCATGTTAAAGGGAAGTTCCCCGGTACCTTTTATAAGTAAGTGATTCTGTTACCTCCCCCAAAACAAGCATGGTTAGTTTCAGTCTGATTACAGCATAAACAGCTTATTCAAAGTCAAAGGCTTCTTATTCACAGAGGAAAGCAACCCTGCTGATTAATAAACCATGTTATTTTTAAGCTTTTGGTCCAAGTACAAACCTCGTACTTACATGAGTGCGGCAATAGACAAGGTTTGGCCCTTCATCCTCGTCTTTAACTATCCCCATTCACCTACCACCACCGGAACTTTCGATAGCGGCCATATTTCTGTAGGGCTGCAACCTTTCTAGTGTGAGACAATCGGAAAATATGTATCTGGTCTCCGGCCGGCTCATATCGCTCATCACGTTCTCTGCCAATCACAGCGGAGGGCAGATAGATGGCAGCCAAGGGTACATTCTCAGTCGGCAACAAATCTACGGCAACAAATCTACGACAAGATTTGTCGGCAACAAATCTTCCAGAAAACACGCTAAGCATATTCACATGGGCTTGCAAGTTCCAAGAGTGACCCCAGTACCAACATCAAAAGTTGGTCTTTATTTTTATTCTTGATAAATAGCAAATAAAATTATGTATTTTCTAAGCAAACAATAAGGTCAAAAATAACAACAAAAAGATGCAATGCAGCTTGATTGCAATCTTGAAAAATGCTGCGTAGATAGTTTTCAGCAAGTCACTGACACTAAAACGTTTTTTCGGATCACCAGGCGCTGCTGTTTATGTTTTTTGAACTTTCTCAATGCTCACTGACCACTCGGCTGCTCGGGTCACAGGGGACGTTTTTTTGGAAACCGTCCCTCTTGTTTACCGCTTTCTGTGGACTTATAGCCCTCAGAGTTTTTGGCTTTACAGACCACACCAGATGATGAACGCTTGGAGGGACCCACATGATGGATGTGTATTTCTCCTCCCTAAGCAGTGATTCAGGATCAGTTTTATAGTACTTTTCTTGATTTGTTTGCTAGACTTTTTAGGAAAGGTTAGTATGTCTCGGCTGCATGTATCCATGTCCCTTTCAGTCTGCAGAAAGCTACACAGCAGCCATTCCCCCTCCTCCATCCTCTTCTGATATCCGTCCATCCACCCATCTTCCAGCCGCCTATCCAGTACATCAGTGTTTCCCAACCCGGTCCTCGGGGGGGGGTCCACATTACCGGGAGCTGGAAGGGAGCAAAAACACGAAGCGTCTGGGGGGGGTCCCTGAAGACCAGGCTGGGAAACCCCGCAGTGCAGCATCATGGGGAGTCAAACCGGAGACTACAGGAATGTATCAATCAATCATTCAATAACTTCGTAGATTTGAAGGAACCCCAGTAGACATCGGCCAAATGATGCAAGATGGTTGTTGCCCATAGTGCCTCTGAGGAAGTTCAGCAAGAGGGACATTCTGGAGAATTTAATTCCTATTTTCAAAATAAATCAAAAAATGACTGAGGTACAATATGTTTAAAGAGGTGGAAGCCTGTATCTCACTGCAGATACAAACAGGATCCCCACCTCAACGCACTAAGACGGTTAACCCTCGCAAAGCCATGTCAGCTGACCCACATCTGGACCCTGTCGGTTTCCTCAGCCTACATGTGCTACTGCCTGCTGTTTCTATAACTGCTACAGAAGTGAAAGATGGGTTATGGGGACCGGGGAAGCCCCCGCAAGCTGGCTGTGCCGCCGCCTACCCAGCACCACCAAACCTCCCACCACCAGCCGGCCTCCCACTCGCATCTCTCCCCTGGGGGGGGGGGGTGACTCATCTGTTTATTCAGCCCTCACCTCGTTCAAAAGAAAGTCCTAATCTCTGTTCCTGATAGACTTCCAAGGCATTCTTCGATCAGACAGATCACTGCATAAAAGACTGGCCTGAACTGCAACCCCCCCCCACCTCCCCATGTACAATCCCTGTGTTAAACTTACTGTCAAGAGTAAGCGCTGTTCTCACTCGAGATTACATGCAGGCAGTTCTGAGACCAAAACATCTCTCTTTTAATGGGCTGCGATCGCAGATGGAACCTTGTGCAACTATAACAAATCGCACTCGGCCGTAAACATAACGCTGCTAATTCTGTCACTGATGTGTCTGGAGCTGAGGAAGAACAATGGACCTCAATCCACTCACACTTCATGCTTTTACAGAAAAAAACTACAAATAACAGCTAGTTAAAGGTATCAGCAAGTCAAAATATTTACAAGATATAACAAACACCAAGGTATAACTCTGTGTTGCTGGAAATGCTAAATAATCACAAAAACATATTCGTTTTCAATGTTTGTAATATCACCCAAACAAGAATGCAGATGATTTCCAATATAATTGGAAAACCACATTAATCTGTTTTTTTATCCATCAGTAAATGACAAGAAATGCTTTAATATGCATAACTGTTTCTAAAATCGAAGGGCACCCTAAAGCCTGAAATGCAGTCACAAGAGATTGTTCTGAAAATTCAGCTACAGCGGGCTTGTGTGGGCTCTCTCCCCCTCCCTGTGCGACTCAGCGGATCATTGCGCGGACTTAGATTGCTGTAAGGAGTCCCAGCCACAGGCCGGCACGGGAAACTCCCACATTCATCGGGGTAGGTGGCTCTGCCGCTGGTCTCTCTGCTCCACGTTTGGAGAAAAATCGCCAGTCTGTGACTCATATAAACTGGAAAAATAAACCTCTGTGCACTTCAAATAAGCTGCCTTGGAATGAATGCAATGCTACGTTACGTGATGGGTGGGCCACGGGAGGGGGTCGCGCAGGGGGGGGGGGCGAACGAAACCGCGAGACGCAGGGACGGGGACAGCATTGCCCATTGCAGTACTTAGGGACCGGGGCGGGGACAGGAGACGAGCGGCAACAGGTCACGGAGAGAAATCGCAAAACAGTAGGAACGAAAGAACGCATGGCTGTGGATGGGTATATCAGGGAAGAGTAAACGAACCGGAACAGGATTCAGGAATTCAGGATCTGGATAGAGGTATAAGAAAGGTCACACAAATCTATTTCATTATGAATGAGGGACAGGTGAAATTAATCAAGATGAATAATACAGATAATCAAGCTCCCCCCTGCCACAGTGTCTGTTACAATGTTGGTTACAGTGTCAGCTTTGTGGATTGCTTGTATTTCACAGGTATTGGCATCCCCACCAAATATGTTTAGGCCTAACTAATCTATCACAGACACTGTTTTTTCCATTTGCAATAGTATGAATACAGAGTCAGGTCATTTATCTGGTGTCCCTGGAACATTCTGGAGGAAGTTAGGGGCCTTGCTCAAGGGCTCAATGGACATGTGACTGTTATGCTGATGCTCAGATTTGAACCCGAGACCTTCCAACCAGAGGGACCGAGACCTAACCCACTAAGTCAGAAAGGGCCCCCCAAAATTGTTCCCCTATACCGCTGAGCCACTGTTCATCATGGGCCTCCTTGTTGAGTGGCCACTCCCTCATCTCCACGGAGATGCTGCCTCAGCGTGTTTGGCTGGAGGCCTGCCATGTGTGCATCCGAGTCATGCCCCCCCCCCGCCCCCGCCCCGCATCACCAGAGTGGTGGCCTAGTTCTCATGGGACCTCTTGTTACACACCCATAAGAAAAAAAACAGGCCAAACCCTTCCCTCGAAGAACAATATACTGTCCAGGGGAATCAGCTCCTTTGTTATTCTTCCTGTGTCTTATTGCTGAGACATTACCTTATATAACATATATTGATGTTTCTGACAGTAAAGATTAACAACTCACAGCTTTTTTGGAGCGACGTGATTTATACCAAGAAGTCCACTGGTTCTGACCAGAATCCACAGGTTTGGATTTTACCACACTGGTGCACCACAAAGATGCTTCTATTAAATTTCAAAATGAAAATGCACATTTTACATCTAAAATGTAAAAAAACACAACCATCTTTTCTTTCCAAATGCTGCCCTGAAACTGGCATATGTCCCCGAAGGAAATGGACCTCATTTCAATAGCATGTTTTTGTTTATTCATATAAACACATGGTTCTTTAACCTTCTAGAGAAAATCAGTGAACTACTTTGAATAAAAGGGGTTCATTTGTCCCGCAGGGATGTGATGCAAATTGTCACAAAGGCCAACAAGGAGAAACAGTCTTTTTTCATTATACATATACAATTATCTCAGAGTCAAGGGTTCTGCAACAGTGGTACAAAAATGTCATTTAAAAAACACCACGTAGATTTAATTTATGTGGTCTGAGATTTATTTTTCATCCAGCCATATTACTTTTGCTTACAGTCTAATTGCACTTTCCCATTCCTTATATTTTATATTTAAAAGAAAAGTTGGCTAAGGACAGAGTGTTCCGAAAGAAGTGACAGGTGGTCTGACTTCATCCCACCCAAACCTTTCATGGCCTCCAAGGCAACAAACATTATAAATCTCTTTCTTCCAGAAGAA